GCGCTGCTGTCCAGCTTTGAGGCCAGCTCTGCGGTGACTCTGTCGTCCAGGGACTGGATGGCCGCTGCGTTGTTGCCGGAGGCTGCCGTGTTCACCGCCAGGTCCGTTACTTGAGCGTAGGGCGTCAAAGCGAGGGCCAGCTGCCCTGCGGTGACGTGCGTGCCGTCAGTCACCTCTCCGTTGTCCAGGACCTCCGGGATATTGCCGGTGACAGGTCCTTCAAACATGTTTACATATGTTTTCGCCGACGCCTTAGTCCAGTGGCTAAGGCGTCGGCCAAGGAGCTAAGCGCTTCTTACTCCGCACGGGGCTCGATTCCTGCCGCGAGCGCAGTTGAGTACCATTCAGTCCGAACTCCGCGGCTTCGGTCTTGGAGCCCGCACCAGGCCCGCACCAGGCCCGCACCAGGGTTTTTTTCGGAAGTAGCGCGGCTGCAATGTGAGTCAATTTGATTTGACCGGTGGCGCCGGTCAAAAGCGAGACCTGCACACGACGGCCGAAAATTTCGGTAAACTGTCGGTAAACTGTCGAAAATTTCGACAGCTCGAAAGCACAAGTGGCACTTGTGCTTTTCGAAGTGGGTTCGTTTCAATGCGTTCCAGGCGAGAGTTGCGGCAGGCTGGCTTCTATGCCGGGCAGGTTCGCCGAAACTTTAGACAGTTGTCGGCTTAGACGACAACGACGACAACCTCGACATTTTTTTTTCCTGGGAAGAATCCCGACCTTGGCGCGGGCTCGGCAGGGCTCCGATGCCGGGCAGGTGGCGCGGCCGGGTCAGGCGAATGCTTCTCGCACTTGGTCTGCAATGAAGAATGACGAGAATTTCAACATGTCAATCCGACATGTTGAAGGAATTCGGTGCCCGGGACAACAAGGTGGCTGGCTCCGATGCCGGGCAGGAGGGCGGAGGCTTCTATGCCGGGCAGGTGGCGCGGCCGGGAGGCTTCTATGCCAGGCAGGCGCGGCAGGGTGGCGCACCCGGAGTGCCCAACCGCCACCGTACGACCGTATGATCCGTATGATTCGTATGACTCGGCGGGCTGGCGTGTCAGGCGCGGCAGGAATGTGGCGCGCTAGGTATCGAAGCCTCCACGTCGGCGGGCTGGCGCGGCTCTGCCGGGCAGGAATGTGATGCTGGAAAGCATAAGTGGCACTTATGCTTTCGAAGTGCCTTGGAACTGGAAACAGGCATGTCCCATTTTTTGGGCCCTGCCCGCGTGGAGTTCCGCGTGGAGTTCCGCCGCAGACTGCGCGAACTGCGAACTGCGCAGCGACTGCAGCGACAGCTGCAGACTGCGCCGCGCGAAAGCGCGAACACAGAACATAGCACCTCTCTCTTTAGAGGGGGTTTCCCAAATGGATTCTATTCTACCTGAGAGGCTCCTGGCACTCGTCCGTCCAGCATTTGACCTCGTCCTGCGAAGGATTCGAAGTCTAAAACGCTGCGTGCAGGCGTGTGGCTGCAAAATAATGACCCCTAGATATGCGGTTTGGCAAAATGCCCAGCAGCTGCCTTTGTTTCTGCAAGGCGAGCGCCCTCAAAGGAAACCCTGGCTGGCTTTTTTGGTTGGCTTCTGGCTGGCTTTCTGGCTGGTTTGGCTTGGCTTCTGTGGCTTGGCTCCTGGCTGGCTTTCTGGCTGGTTTGGCTTGGCTTCTGGCTGGCTCTCTGGCTGGTTTGGTTTGGCTCCTGGCTGGCTTTCTGGCTGGTTTGGTTTGGCTTCTGGCTGGTTTGGTTTGGCTCCTGGCTGGCTTTCTGGCTGGTTTGGTTTGGCTTCTGGCTGGCTTTCTGGCTGGTTTGGCTTGGCTCCTGGCTGGCTTTCTGGCTGGTTTGGTTTGGCTCCTGGCTGGCTTTCTGGCTGGTTTGGCTTGGCTTTCTTTTTTTTCCCTGTTTTTTTAGCTCGCCTTGCAGAAACGCAGCTGCTGGGCATTTTGCAAGCATATCTAGGGGTCATTATTTTGCAGCCACACGCCTGCACGCAGCGTTTTAGACTTCGAATCCTTCGCAGGACGAGGTCAAATGCTGGACGGACGAGTGCCAGGAGCCTCTCAGGTAGAATAGAATCCATTTGGGAAACCCCCTCTAAAGAGAGAGAGGCTGTCGACATGCTGTGGCTTCTTGCAATGAACCAATATTGATTCAATATTGACTCAATATTGCCGTGATTTTGAGCCCTGGAAGCCATGGGCCGTTTTGCGCACTTTTTCCACCAAAAAGGGGGCGATGACAAGCGATGACGTTACCAATGACATTGCAGGGCAGGATGGAAAAAAGGCTGTTTTGGCAGCCTTTTCGGGCCAAAAACCCCCTTTCCTTACTACTAATGCTACCCGAGTTGAAATGCAACCCAAGTTGAAATGCCGAGTAGATCATGGATCGAAGGTAGATTGCAAGACTTTCGTCAAGCCAGAATGTCCAAGCGCAGCAGGCCAATTGTGGATCAAGTATCAAGAAGGCGACTAGCAAAGAAATGGGCAAACTGGAGTGGAAACAATGATACCTCGTTCCAAAAGACAGCTTGAAACGTAGCAAGGAAGGTCGAAGTTCTGAGAGTGCCAGCAAAGATCATTGGCCTGCAACCTTGGTGAAGGCGCTGCGCGTGTGTCCCAACTACACGGAGATGGGAGTGCTTTTTGACAATGTGGCATGTTGGGGGATGACACGGTCCTGTTTTGAATTCAAGACTTTCTACTCTTCTTTTGGTTTCGGCCAACGATTCAGGTTGTACTCGCGCACATTCTTGTACAAATACCAGTTTACAAACCTGACAGCTTTCATGGCCTTGAAGTCTTCATGCCTGTTTGGGTGGTGTTGCGCGGACTGCCGCACTTGCCTGGCTAAAAGCTTGTTTTTTTGCACGATTTTGCAGGTTTTTGACATGACATGGTTCTTGGTTTTTGCATGATGTTGCATGGATTTTTCCATGGATTTTGCACGATTTTGGCATGATTCGAAGAGACATTGAGGTTGAATGTTTTTCTTGCGCGTTTTTGTGTGATTTTGATGATTTTTGACCTGACACAGAACAGCTTGTTTGCACGGTTTCGCATGATTTTGCTTGATTTCGAGTTTGCATGAACATTTGAGCCTGGCCGAAACAGGTTCTGGTGCAGATCTTGGCATGGTGTCAGGGGTTAGTTGAGCCAAAAGAGAGGGATGTTTCCCAAGCAGCGCATCGGCCCGACTTGGCATCAACAGCAGCGGCTTGGATAACGTTCACTGGGCAAGTTTTCGGCTTGGGTAAGGGTCATTGCGATTGACATGCTTTTCATGAGTTTACTTTTATGTGAGAGGCTTCGTGCAGAACTTGTGTTTGCCTTTTCTCTGTGCCCCCCTGTTTGTTTTTCCGTTTGCTGTTTTGTTTGTTTGTCAGTGTTCGTGTTTTGTTTGTCTGTTTGTTTCGTTCGGGGCTTGCATGACGGATCCTTTTCTGTCTCACCTGATGCCTGTCTCCTTTCATCTTCTTTTCGCCGCATTGCTTGGAGACGCCGGAAGCTGACCGGTGGGGTGGCTGGTTGATGTCCATACCATTTGATTTGCTTCGAGTCCGCATGCTCTTCAACGGTTTTTTGATGCCTTTGCTTGCCGTCCCCCCCCCCTTTTTTCGAGACTCGTGTTGTGTAGGTTCAATGGGCGTACATATACTGCCTCGCTGTGTTGCCGCGCAAGACCCTGGCAGATTTGGAAAACGACAATGACCTTTGCTGGCGCTCTCAAGCTTCGACCTTCCTTGCTGCCGTTTCAAGCTGGCTTTGGAACATGCACCATTGCCTTCCACTTTGCCTATTTCTTTGCTTGTCGCCTCCTTGGATACTGAGGCCTTGCATTTGGTCTTGCATCAATCTCTGATCCATGATCGGCCTTGCTGTGCTTGGATATTCTTCCATCCATAATTTGCTGTGCATGGATATTCTGGCCGCTGGGCGCGGCTTTTCTGTTTTGCTACAGATGAGCCTTTTCTTGCAGCACTGGCTTCAGCAGTCAACCAGAACTGCGATTGATATGTTTTTCATGAATTCACTTTCTTGTGAGAGGCTTGCGTGTACAGATCTTGTTTATGCTTTGTCTCTGCGCCCCCCCCTGTTTGTTTTTCCGTTTGCTGGTTTTCTTGTCTGTGTTCCTGTTTTGTTTGTCTGTTTGATTCGTCCGGGGCTTGCATGACGGCATCTTTGTATGTCTCACCTGATGCCCGTCTTTTTTCATCTTCTTTTCACCGCATTGCTTGGAGCAGACGCGTGCCTGACACGGAACGCTGCATCGGGGCAAAAAAATCAGCATTCCATGAGCTCACGCATGGGGAGTGGAAGTGCCATCTTGCTCATGCTGCCCGAAGCCGGCCATGTGCTCATTTTGCCAGCTCGAAGCAGCCAGACCGACGCACGCATCATCGCAACATCCGCACCTGACGGGGTCGGAGGGCGCCCCGGCTTCAACGTTTTTGCCGGTGTGCATCGATCTCTGCCGCAGCAAACAGACGGTAAACGCCCTTCGAAACTCCGTGCGTAACATTCTGGACGATGCGTGGTTCGAATTGTTGATGCGCATATGGTGTCTGGAGCGGCCCTGTTGACACTGGCGCCGCTCAAACCAGGTGGCCGAAGACCCTATGCACGCCGACATGCATGTAGGGGTCTGCCAGGACCTTCCAGTGCTGAGCACGAAAAAACATCTCGGTGGGAGTGGGTGTTCGGGCTTGGGTCATGAGGAATTGGATTATTTGTTTTTTGGTCAAAACCAGTGCAAAGTTGTAAACGGACACTGCGCAGGAAGTTAAGGACCAAAAACCAGAATCGGTTTTGGTGGAAATGTTTCCCCATCAGGCAGGTGTTTACATGTTGGGGCTCGTGTTGTCCAGCACGTCATATTATGTTTCCGTGTGCCGCACAGAAAAAAAACACAACCATGAAGCGGACCGTCTCTTCAGATTTTAGCATGTTGGCAACAGCCAACATTTTGGATCTTGTTGCGTGTTTGCCGCTTGAGTCCACATCGGGTTGTTCGCAGTTCCCGGGCCAAGCCGGTCGCACAATGTTTGCTGGTGATGTCCAGCGCCGCTGGCAAGTCCAAAAGTGAACTGGCTGCGCAGGCCGGGGCACAAGGATAGGCCGCATGAATGGGATTGTCATGTGAACCATACAACTAACCGGAGATTGGCAGCTCGGCCGCCTTTGTGATTCTTTGTTTTTGAGTGCGCTCTAGTACAAGTTTGGATTGGGACTCGTGGCATGCGGCATGTGGCAGGTGCTTGAAGCTTCATTGCGCCGCCTGTTTGCATAGACCATGCCGTGGCCGGGGTTGGCACAGTTGTTGAACATTTGGCCGCAGAGGCCAACCACTTCTTCACTTTTGCCTTTTGCCTTGGGCAGATATGTTCTTGCGGTGACCACTTCTTTCCTCGCAGCACTTTTCAAGGAAATGAGAGAGAGGCTCGGGAGAAGTTGGAGAAACTGGTGGATGCCCAGCAGCTGCAGGCGCAAAGGAAATCAGCAGCTGGCAATTTGCGACATGTGGCGAGTGAAGTGGGACACATGAAGCTATGAGACAGTTTAGCAAGCAAATTCCATCCGAATTGGCAGGTGGAAGAACACCAGCACTTACGGCTGAAGCTGGAGGCGCTTGATCCCGGGAGATTGCGACAGAGACGCGAGGAATTGGTACAGTTGCCTTCCAATCTTCTTGGGGGGTGCGGATGGGATTTGTTTTGATGAAATGCCATCTGGTCTGCGCAAGGCCTTGGGGAGGATCTGTTGGAGGGTTGCAATCCCTCATTTCTTTTGGTTCCTTGTTGTGATGTTTGGTGAGCAGCAACACTTTTCTCAACAACTCCGTGTGCCAAGCGCCTCGAATCTTGCGTGTTGTGTATGGCTGTGTTGGTGTCCACGGTCTTGCCCTCATGGCTGGCACGCCATCCCTAGGCGCTGGTGCGCCTGGAGCGCGACAAGGTGAAGGAGCTGGAGCAGCAGCTGGCGGGGACCCAGGACCGGGGCGCGGAGTTTTGGTTGAGACGGAGGATGGAGGCAGCAATGGCGGTTGAAGTTAGTATGTGGCTCTTAGTTTGCTGACTTCGATTTCCTTCCCCACTGCAAGAACGCCCCCTTGCTATGCACAGCAAGAATCAGTTGCAGCTGAAATGTTGGTTTTCCAAGTTGACAAGCACAAGATGCCATTTTGGACAGCTGTGCAGGAGCTTGCTCAGGGGCCACAAGATACAGTACGTCTTCAGATGGTGCTGCAAGGCCGCGACAAGCAATTGGATGACCTGTCCAAAGAGTACACGGAGCGATGGCAACGTCGGCGCATGGGGTGGTATAGTGGCTTCCATTTGGCGGGGGGCAACCCCACACAGTCCTATCCCAGATTTGTTTTGGACTCCAGGAGAAACTGAAAGAGGCGGAGAACAACGCCTTCGAAGCGACGCTGGCCAAGCAGGAGGTGTCCACCCTGAGAGTGCGGGCCCCATGCAATGTGGCCGGTTGGTTGGCAACGGGCATGGCGATGTCTCAGGCTTTGTATTTGTGTGCGGAAGGAAGTGGCAATTTGTATCGGCAGTTGTGCGAGCCATCGGTTGGCTGAGAAGACTCTTTGCCAAATTGGAGGGATTCCGCCCTCCATGTGCTCTTTTGAGCACCTGCTCCTCAGACGCTGCCAGTGTCTCAACACCACGAATTTCCACCTCCCTTCCCCCCATCATTGGTCGAGTCCCATTGGTCGACTCAACCATCCCCCCCCCACCAAAAAAACAACATCCCCTTTTGGGCGACTTGAGCCTCACCCATTTTTTCAGTGAGCCGTTTTTTTGGAGTGATGTCTTCCCCCGGCCCGGGGCACAAGTCCCGAGGCGGAGGTGTCGGACAGCCGGGAGGAGCTGGAGCGCTCCATCCGCTGCGAGGCGCAGCTCAGGGCGCAGATCTTTGAGCTGCGGGACCAGAACCAAAAGCTCCAGGCAGGTGCCAAGCGGAAAGGAAAGGGCACGGCCGACGTGGGAGACGGGGGTTGGAACGTGGGCCAGGTGGCGTTTTTGCCAGGCTGCCGGACCTTGGTCTGGTTTTTGGCCGACTGCAGGCAACACGGTCACATCATTGTGGTGGTTTATTGTCACATCCTGTGGCCATTTTACATCCAGCGGAGAGCCATGCGGGGAGCACGAGTCCCTAAAGGACAAACGGGCCCAAGACGTCAGGAGAGCCTGGGGGAGGAGCAGGCCAGGAGCTCCCAGGTGGCACAGGCCACGGCGGCCATGCAGGCGCTTTCCAAAAAGGGGGGGGGCACCGTGGGACATCCGCTCACGAAGCCAAACGAAGGCACTGGCAAGAAGGGAAGTTGGAGATCCTGCTTGATTTTGCTGGTGCTCGGTGCGGGGCAGGGCATTTGTGACAAGGCCGACGCCACAGCCACTCTGGTCTACCTCCGTTTTGGAATGGCTGGTTGGTTGGTTGTTTGGTTGTTTGTTTGGTTGGTTGATTGGTTGTTTGGTTGGATGATTGGTTGGTTGTTTGATTGGTTGCTTGCTCGGTTGCTTGGCGGCCCTCAAAATGTAACAATTAAGCTGACCATACAAACCGGGACACATGGCAGGCTTGGGTATGTGGTTCTTCAACCGTCCATTTCACCGCAATAGACCAACTACCCAGCCATCCAGCTACGTCTGCCCAGCCCTGGTCTTTTGTTTTTTGCTTCATTTTCATTGGATGTAAGTGGAGCCCCGCTTAGACCTCGGCGCGACTTTGCGAGTCGTTGAGGCGGCAGAGGAGCGGAGCCGGGCGCTAGAGAAGCAGATGGCTGAAGAGCGGCTCGGCCGAATTTGCCGGGTGCCCGTGTGGCCCACTGGAATTCCTCCCACCGGCGCAGCTCAATGGTCATTCCATCGCTAACATGGATGAACCATGCCCTGTTGTCGACAGTTCTAGGAGGCCTCTACATGAGTTTGCTGCCCATGAGGAAGCAGGACGCCAAGCAAGAGATCGACACCTTCAAAGTCCAGACTGATGAGAGCATGAGCATAAAAGACCAGACCATTCGTCATCAAACCTCTGCGATAGAGGCTTTGACTCGGGAGCTGAAGGAGTGGTGAGATTTCCGAGCGGCTAACTTTCAATCAGATACAGTGATTGCAAGCTTTAGGGCACATGCAGTTGTTTGGATGTTTCCTGCCACTTGCAGGAGAGAAAAGTGGAAATTGAAAGGCTGACAGATATATTGGCCTCAGGCGGGCAGTCTTCAGAGATAGCAGCAGCCTGTGTGCTTTTGATGTCATGAAATTCAACCTCTTGCGCTCAATATTGCGAATTCTTTTGGGAAGCTGTGTCGATTCTGCTTCTGTCTGGAGTTTTCCTTGATGCTTGCACAGAATTCACCTTTCTCAAATGCTGTACTGGATCTGCGGATCTGCGACCGAAAAATGAGAGGTTCGTCGTTTGTCCAATTCGTGAAGGTGACAGCGAAGGCAACATGCCCGCGAAGGGTGTGACGAGGGTCTTCCTGCCGCCTCTGGGACCCAAGCCCATGGAGGACGTGGAGGTGGGCCGCAGGGTGTGACCTAAAGATCAGCGCAGTTTCCGGATCCGATCTTCCAGATCGAGACCCGACGCGGATGCACCAGAATTTGAGAGAGAGAGGGAGGGAGAAATAGGGAAAGAAGAAGAGAATAGTTAGAGCGCAGCCGCTGTGGGAGGACAGGGGTTGGCGGCTAACCCTTCTTGCAGAACATGTCTGCATTCCTTGGAAGGAGCAGAGGTTCTTCTTGGCTCTTTTGCGGTCTGCCTTGGTCTGCCTTGATATACCGCAGGTGTCCATTCCTGCAGGGAATGTACACACACACACACTGAGACTCACTGACAGAGGAAAGTGACTTGTGGCAACAAAAACGGGTTGAAAGTAAAAGAACGCAAAACGCGTCACACCGCAAACTTCTGAAGAGGTGAAGAAATCCATCGAGAACCTCCGGAAGCAGCTGAAAGCGAAGGAGTCCAAGCTGTCAAAGCAGACTGAGCGGCTACAGGCGTGAGCAGTTTTGGAGAGCGGCAACAAGGTGAGATTTTGGCAGCTGTTCGAACAATTGGGCGATGAAATGGCTTTGCTGGAGGTTGTTTGCACCACTGATGACTGAATTCTGAGGCGATGCGTGAAAGTCGTTGCCTTTTGAAATGTCTCGACACCACTACAAGGTTCTGCTTTACTCATACATGGATGGGTGGTTGGCGACAGAATGCTGCAACAAAACTCTTTGGAGGCCCCCCAAAGTGCCCAAAGAAGCAGGACTTGGGAGAGGATATTTCTTTTGAACAACTATTTGGTTCTGGTTTGGTTGTTTTTAAGAAAAACCTGCAATTCAATGGCCGCGTTCAAGCTTCCTCAAGTATGGCAGAATCGCCGCACGGCAGCACAGCAGGTAGTCACAATTTGTCCCGGGCAAAAGGCCAAGCCACACGGCCTCCCCGGCCTCAGCGGTTTTGGAGCCCTGGAGCCCTCGAATGTGACGCTCGCAGGGTCTGGGGGATCTGCTGGAGGAGCGGGACACGCAGCTCCAGGAGTTGTCCAGCGCTCGCCGTGACCGGGAGAAGCTGCGCGTGCGCCTCGCGGACCTGGAGGCGGGGGGCGACGGGCCGTCAAACTGTGGCAAATTTCGGGGGTTCCGAGCCTTCAAGAAGCCGGAATCCACCCTTTGAAGGGTTTTAAGCACGTTTTGCCCCACTTCAGACCTAAACTCAGGTCCGGCCGCTCCAAGCTTTCGCAGGACGCCATGAAGGTGCAGAAGAAGGTCCTCTCCCGCGCCGACGCGGAGCGCCGGCTCATTGGCCAAGAGGCCAGGCTCAAGGAGTCCGAGCGCCAGATCAAGGAGGGGGGCTTCAAAATGGCGCGTTGCGGAGCAGCCTGCGGAGCAGCCTGCGCATGTTGTCTTGCCTCATAAGTGCAGTCTTCCAAGTGAAGTGGATGCTTGGCTTTCTTGCGGCGCAGCGGCGCCTGATGACGCGAGGGAATCGCTCGCTAGAAACCAGGCTTCCTCACTCTGGTTTCTGGCTCGCTGCAGAGCCAGAACCAAAAAACTGCAAGTGCCCGGTTTGCCCATCGCATGCCCAGCCACTGGAAGTCCTTGTAGATTCCTACATGGTAGTGGGTGACTTTTCTTTGGCTGTGACTCAGCTTGTATTGGCATCGCCATGAGCCAACAATAGAATGCTTCTAGGTAGAGTCATTGTCATGGCGTGGTCACTTGTTTGCTAATCAGAACATTCGCTTTTCCCATTCCTCTAGCGCATTGAGGAGCTTGGCGAGAGCCTGCACAAGGAGCGGACCGAAAGACAGGCGCTTGGTCCCTGCGGACATTGCTCTTGGCTTGTTGCAGTGAAGGACTACTCGGGCGGCAATTCAGTGGCCGTTGTCCATGAGTCAATCAAACCTCAGGTCGAGGAAGCCGCCAGCTGAAAGGTTGTTGGGGCATGTCCCGTTTCCCCCGCAAGAGAAAGAAAAGCGCGCGCGCCTTTCGCGGCGTTTCAGGTGGCGAGCTGCGAGCTGCGGGCCCTGGAGGAGCGGCTCTCGCGAGGTGCCGACTGCGCGGTGTCCATGGACGACGCCAACGAGGCGATGACCCAGGCGCGCCGACGGCAAGGGCTCGGGGCTCGGGGCTCGGGGCTCGGGGCTCGGTAAGAGGGAAGCTAGTGAGATTTGTCTCTTTGTGCTCCCAACTTGGTTTTGAAAGGGAAGGCCAAGGCGGCCCCCATGGCAACAGTCACATCGCACAGGAGCTGGCGGAGCATCGAGTGCAGCTGGCAGTGCAGCGGGAGCAGGTTGACAAGCTGGAGGCCACTCTGGCGGCTGCCCAGGCGGTCCGAAAAGACCTGAAGCCAACTAAACGTTGGGTTTCAAAGGCTTTGGGTTGAGTTGGGATGGAGTAACTTTCGTGCAACTGATGGGTTGGTTCACCGCAAGTCTGGAATGCTTTTGTTTGCAGTGCGGCGGATGATCGCAGATATTTGATTGGGTTCTCATTTGTGGCTAGTTTCTGCCAAAGGGGGAGAGCGTGGGTTCCTTGGAAGGGGCCGGTTTGAAGCATGAGGCATAGAGCAACTCCAGGTACACGCATGATTGACTTGGTTGCCAGTTGCCACAAATCTGATCTGAAAGGTGGAACTCACCTTCCCACACTGCAAGCCATCAAGATGACAGCATGACTGTCTGATGCTACAAGCATTCAGCGGCTTCAGGCAGACGTGCGGAAGCTTAGCGAGCGCACGAGACCTGAAGCAGGCACGGTTGCGTGGAAGCTGCGGGCTGACGTGTTTCGTGTGGTTTTGCAAGGCTTCTGCACATACCCACATATCATGGCCTTTCCCCAATGGCTTGGATTGAATGTCCACACGTTTGGCCGCTTGCGATTGCAACTTGGAACAGACTCCAATACGGCGCTTTCTAAGTACAGGCGCAGCAGCAAAGGTCACTGAAGCAAAGGCCCCGAGCCAAAATGCTCTCGCCAGAAGACGTGGCCACGCTGCCGCAAGTGCAGCGGAAGCTGCGGAAGCTCGAGTCAGTGGATCAGCAGCTGGCGAGGCAGGGAAGCCGCCTTTCGGGACGGACATGCGAGGGCTCGAGCTGTTCCGAGCTGTCTTTGTGACAGGCCGCTGAACCTTGCTACTGGAATGACCATGAACGAACTTTGAGCTTTCTTTGACACGATGTGGATGAGGCCATTAGAACAGCGTGCACTGACTCATGTGCACTCAAGTTCTTGGAGGCATTTGAAAAAGCCAACTACGCCACTGTGCCACTTGATTTGTTCCACACATATCCACGGTTCTTTGCCGCATGCCCTGCGCAGGGACGTCCTCATGCACCTCCAGGATCGAGAGAGACCTGGCAGAGTGAAGGAAGGTTCAGTGGTTTTGAGCTTAGCCGAGTTCATGGTGAGGAGAGGGTGGGCTTGTTTCTGCCACTTCAGCATTGGTCGAAGCTGAACTGAGGTGCACATTGGTTCTTGGGGACCTCCCATGAGTCTACAAACAGGGAACATCCGAAAACAGCCTGTTTCATGTGTGAGGAAAACATGCATTTCTGCCCGCGGAATCCATAGCAACTGCTACATGTAAATGATCATGATTACTTTCTTTTGCTTGTAGCAATCTAAAACTGCTATTCTCCCACACCTTCCGCAACAAAACGGCCTGTTTTCGACTTCGCTTTGCGGATGGGTCAGCGGGTCACCGGGTCACAGCCGGGTCAGCCCGAGGAACAGGATCGAGATACTAAACTCCACCGTGGCGTTGCTGCGGCAGACTGTGGAGGACCTCCAGCCTGAGAAGGCGCACAGCCCTTGAAGACCTCCAACCGTTCTTTTTGTCCTCCTCCTAGTTGGTTTCTTCTTTGATCTCCTTTTGTTTGATATGGAATCACCGCTAAAAAGTTCCGAGTCTTCCCTTTCTGTGCTGTTTGGCGTGGGTAACGTTGGGTGGCCCAGATGATTCAATACAGTGGCTAGCCACATGTAAGGTGGGCATTGCAAGGTATATCAGAAACGGTCGATGTTCACTATCGAAGGGGATGACATTGGCTACACTCACCAAATTTCCTCTAGAAAAGCGGTCACTCACACGAACTCCAATATTTTTGAGGGAATAAGTGAATATTGACTGTAGTTGATATCACAGTGTGACAGCTTCAGGCCGAAACAGAAGCCTTGTCGTGAGTTTCCCTTGTTTCACCGCATTTAATTTTTACATGACATGTTGTAGCAAAGAGGTCCTTGGACGCTTCCAGCACGACAGAGTTGTGCACTGCATCCGAGCTTCCCTGCTCATGAGACCTTCGCTTGTTCTCACTAGCCGCATCAACATTTTGTGATTTGAGCGTGGGCCGTGCGTGAAAGAGAGGGGGTGTTTGGTTGACCGGTCGTGGATCCACGCGCTGGGAAAAGCCCAGCATTGGCCAAAGACGCGAGACCGGCAAAAGTGACTCACATGGCACAGCCGGGCATGGAGGGGTTTCAGCCGGCTTCGCATGCTTCAGTCTTCGCAAGCTTGTGGTGGCTATGCCTTGGGAACTCCATGGTGGCTCTGTGGAAGCTGAGGGAAACACTTGAAAGCGGGACGCCCACTTTTTGGGAGGCCCCTAATTGTGAGACATCTCCGGTTATCAGGAATCAATGCGCGAAGCAGCAGAACGGACAGGGGAGGTTGACTTGAGACACAAGGAGCAACCATGTCCGCACTGTGGCTGTTTTGGCTCCTTTTGGCCATGGATGTCTGCGAAGACTTGCCACCTCTGATCTCTCCCAGTTTGAATCCTTGAAGAAGGACGCTTAGCTGCAAACGAAGCGAAGAGTTGCCACATGAGCCACGCAGCGTATGTCACCCTGTTGATCCAGATAGAACAGGCTCACAGTCCGTTGGGCCCACTGTCAAGCTTGGTGAGCATGTTGAGCTTATAACATGGGGCTTAGCACATGGTGTAGTTTCAGTTTTAGAAGCTTCATGGGGACTTGGCAGAGTGCTGGTTTGCAGCGTCCCTTGCTTGTCACTGTCCATCTGGTACGTTGACTCCTTGAGGGAATGTTGGCCCCACAGCCAAGGAAATTCGGTTGACACTCGAGGCGAGGTCAGGAACAAGCTGCAGACACGTCCTACGGGATACTTGCGATCGATTCTGCGAATTTTGCATAGCCCGCAAGCACAGATCGCTATGTTGCGCGTTCGAAGCTTTTTGGTACACACCCTGTGAAGCGGGACGTTTGAAGCTCGCCATGATCTATGCCAGGGCTTGAACCATGGCATCGGCTCCGCTGCTGCAAAACGACACGCTCCGCGTCAGCACATCAAAGAGTGCCTGCAATTTGATGAGGGGAGCCAAAGACATTCGTGCGAAAAGAGTTATAAGGGACCTCATTTCAATGACATCATGCATACATTGTGCTCCACAAAGGGGACATCGGGGCCGTGCAGGTGTTCCTCCAATCCGATCAAACTAGCATATGAGCAGCTGTAAATGCCCTGCAGTTGAAAGTAATATTCGAGAGGAAATATGGATTCGCACAGGTTGCTTTTCCCTAGGTCGCGGAAGGCCGCGTAAGGGTTTGTGGAATGAGGTTCGCATTGACCCCTTGGATGCCTTGTACGAAGTTGTTGCGTTTCCATAACTGTAGAACTGTAGCAAGGGCTCAGACACAGGGTGTGGCATGGTCCCTTGTGTGTGGCAAACATGGTGCAGAACAATGGCAAAGTCCGATCTGCAATAAAGCAGGGTCTCACCCATGTTTCCATGCATCGCTTGCGCGGATTGTAGGTGCTTTTGTCTTCTACAGGTTGCAAAGCTCAGCTTTTGTGGTTTCGCTCTGCTCGCGTAAGCGAAAACGCGAGAACTAACTTCCAAAAAAAGTCTCAACCCGCCCTCGCAGCCGCGGAAGCTCCGCATAGGCCTTCGCGAAATAATTTTGTTCGTGTCGCTGGCCCGCGCAATGATGTAGAACAGCGCTCATATCAACTCTACCAATTTGCAGAGACCTACATGGATTAGTGGCATGCTATACCAAAAGAGGCCACCGGATCAAGCAGAAGAACGCATTGACCCCGATGGGAAAAAAGGGCAACTGTCGCAACAGCGAAAGTTTTAGTTTGACCAGCCGATGAACTCGGTAACTGGGTGGTTTCCAATGGCTGAATATTGTTTCCGGACTGTGCCACTGGGATCGGGTTTCCAAGGATTTGGCACCGAGCAAATTCCAGATCTTCTATCTGCTGGGGGTTGAATGTCTGCCTCACCTTTCACCTGTTTCTTTTGGGCCCATGCTTGCAGACAGGAGATTCGGGGCGGGTCCCTTTTGTCAAGCACCAAGGCAGCAACCAAAACAACTTGCAGCCCCACGGAACAACAAACCATCATGTTGACACGCAAAAACTCTGGAGGCTGTTCTCAGGCTGTAGGCTGTTCTCTGTGCAAACTGGCCGAGCGCCTCAGGTTGCCCCCCGCTAATGCGGGGGTGGCTGTAGGACTGGAGCTGGGAGTGCTGCATGAGGGCTTCAGCCCGGACAGCATGACCTCCAAAGGCGCGCATGAAGCAAATTGAAGCAGAGAAAAGCCTGCCACTTGAGGGGGTGTCTTGTTTTATCTCTTCAGATGGGAATTCACGATGCTACTACTTGTTCTGGGAGAGCCTACCGATAGGGGGTGCCTGTCGATGTATATTTTTTGAGATCCAGGGCCTGATTGACATGAGGTTGTCAAACCAGGCTTTCCACAGGCCAAGGACTGCTCCGCTTGAATCGGTTTGCAAGGACCGTGACAAGCAGGAAGAAGTTTCAAGCCAAGTCGGAAGAATTTGGAGAAGTGTTCAGTAGCATTGTTTGGGTGTGCGTTCGAAATCATTTTGATCGCACACCTAGTATTGGTTCGGGCTTGCCCAAATTAGCTTGTTCCCCTTGACGGGAATGGTTTCGCCGCTTTTCTGGGTTGTTCGGTCTTCTAGTTGGAAACCAGCTTCGCTCAGGGCCCAATGTGGCCCGACGAACACACAATTGAAGCAGGTCTTGCCAACCTGGCAGTTTTCTTTTGAAACCGCTTGTGCTTGCACACGGCTTGATTTTTCTATCAGCCGGATTTGTTAATCCCGGTGGTTGGTGCCAAGAAGTGGCACGCGACGGGCTTGGTGAGCTTGACACTTGACACTTGTCGAGCTTTGGCTCCAGAAATTTGGGTCTAGGGCATATGGTAAGATGCTTGTTGCACTAGATTCATGTTTTCTTGTTTTGCTTGGGGGTGTAGGGCATTTTCGGCTTGTTGCTGAAATCTCCGCTTCGCTCCTCTCGCACGTGCAATATCAGCTTTTGGGCTAAACATCTGCAGGCGACCAACGTGTCAGCATGGTCCCCGACGTTGCCGAACAGCTCATCAAGGATGGCTATGGAGAGCCTTGTCTGGAATCGAATGGGAGCTTGTCAGTGCAAAGAGCAAAGAACTCATGTGGGCCCGCCAGACGCATTTTGCTTGCTACAGGCGTTTTTACTCTCGGAGTCAGAAGGTGTGCGCTTTGGTTTCAATTTGTTCTGAGGTGAATGTGGAGAAGGGTGCGGGTGCCGGGCACTTACTGTTGACGAAGTTCCACGACAAGTTTCTGCTGTCTGATCATCTTTGATATCTTGTTGCTGGATATCCTTTGATGTAACAGAAACCATCTTCTTTGGAACGTCGCATAGTGACCGTGCTTGGAACTGCTTCACAGTCGGTGAGGTGTATTCTGGCTTTGCCGACCAGGTGCGACCGACTGACTGCTCAATCCCAGAGAAACTCTGCCGTTCTTCCATTTGATTGCTTTCTTGAACTGGCAGTGAGTGACGAAACTCTGGACGGCCCTGAGTGCTGCATTGGGCTGTCTTGGCAATGTTTGTATCGTGGCCTTCTGCATGTGCAGACCGAGTTGATTGGGCGATGCATCACCAGGATATGAGGAGTCTTAGTATCGGCGAGTTGACAGTTCCGGCAAAGGGAGTGAATCCGAAGTTGGAGGCCTCCAATTTGGAGGTAAACCGAGGAGATAAGACTGAACTGTTGCTGACAGAGCCACCGGCGCAAGGCTTACGTGCAGAAGGCCTGGGCAAGGGCAGCTGTCATGGCCATGCATGCCCAAAAACGCCGATGTCCTGTGCTATGGGTCACTCACGGCATATGGAGGCATGTGAAGCTATCACAGGGAAGAGTTGGCGAGTTGCTTTGCTGCTTTGACGCGTGATGGGACACGCGTGCATGACGCCTTCGCGAGTGCCTTTGTGAAGCGCAGGGCTGCCGCATCGCGAACAGGGCAGAAGTCATCAAGAAGAGCAGTGTGCCGCGCGCAGATTGGCATCTTTTTGGTGAGTATTGGGGAAGCTCACGAGTACCGTTTTGCAGACTGTTTTGACTTTTGGCAGAGTATTGCTTGTGAGGTCTTCGAGTTACATTGGTAACATGGGCAACCCTCCATCTCATGGTCCCTCTTTGACAGAGAAAAGATGAGGGCATTCAGAGAAGGCCCAAACGCAAGCGCCTTCAATCCCGCTGTTCAGGGGGCCACAGGACAAGCAGATCTGTCGCTGGATCTGTGAGTCTGTCGGAGCTGAGGTGCTCTTCTCCATCGAACCGCCAGTGTCGGACTTTGCGGCCTGCAAGGGCAAGGCAGGAATCGCATTTCTGGAGAACAGTCCCGGTCCGTGGCAACCTTTCTGTTGAGGTTGGGACTATTTGTGCAGCTGAACGTATCTTAGTGTTACTGGCTGATTGGGAGCTCATTTTGTTGCGCTGGTTGTTCTTGGATGCGCACTTTCAAAATCCTGTTCGGAACAACCGATGGATCATTGCTGGAAGGAACATGCAAGGATTTGCGACTGAGTTGGCAAGTCTCTTTCTTGGAGGGTTCTGAGCACCTTGGCCGATTTGCGTGCGGTCAGGTGGTCATTTCCTGGGTGGGTCGCCTGCTCGACAAGGGCAAGGAACCAAGCCGTGAGCGTGGGGCGGTTGAGGGAGCAGGCAAAGTAGCAGCCCAACGTTAGATTGCTCACTTGTTCAGGTGATTGGGTGTGTTTTGTCTGGAAGTGATCCGTGGGTCTTGAGTTAAGCCTCTGACTCTCCTACCCTTGGCTGGGGCGGCAGAGTCGGCTGACGTGCAGGACATTTGCGAGAAGGCCAAGGCGGCCGGTGTGACGCTCATTGACGTGACAGCGGTTCCGCGCATCACCATCGCGTGCCTTAGCAAGATCGCAAGATGGGTGGACAATCACGATTCAACGTGCAAGCAAACACCCTGAACAGAAAGAGAAGGTGCTGGGTCATACGCCCCTTTTTGAAAGGGCCAACCCTGCAGCTGTCTGAGGCAGAAGCTGGACGTGCTTAGCTCTCAGGCAAAAGTAGCAGGCGGGATGCGGATTTCTCGACCGGACAGATGATTCTGGTTCATCGTCACTGGCCATTTTATTGGAGAGGTGGAGAGGTGCCCGAGTGAAGGAAAGTTAAAACATGGCGCCGTATGATATGAAGTCAACCATGTGCATGCGCGCAATGATTCTGGCACCAAGCGCGATGATCAAGCAAGAACGCTGCTTGTAACAACACGTGTACTCATTGTTGCTTGCTCCCAACGCGTTGGCCATCTTGAACCTATGTGCAAGTGGCAGCGCTCACTCCTCAAATGTTCCGTTAGCTGACGTCCCGATGCGTATTATTGGCTTTCGCCATGCGTCAGGTCATCGAGCTGTCATTGAAGCATCGTACGCTTTCGGTCGCTTCCACACTGCGGAGATGACTGCAGCAGGCGCGCAGAGCTTGTGGAAATGCTCTGCGACTGACTCGGGAATTTTACCGGGCCTTGCTTTGACATACAACAGAATATTGGCATGCATTTTTTCGGGAACATTGCACGAGCATCGGAAGAGTGCCAGTTGAGCAGGTTTGCATTTGTGTCTTAAGTGCTAGGCGATCACACTGGGGTTGGTGCAAAAGGATTCCTTGCCAAAAGTCCCTGAATCCAGTAGCCTACTGCGCCTGCCTCGAACACGCAACTTCGTGTTCGTTCTGCTACCAACCTCCGGGAACTTGAAGGACGGCCGACCCCTCCGAAGCGCGGTCGCTCGAGCCTGAGGCAAGTACCCGCCCTCCCAGACCTTCGTGCTGGGCTGCGGGGTGGCGGGCCTGGCGGCCATCGGCACCTCCAAGGCCATGGGCTCCGCCCCTCGGTGCCACCGGCAAAACGCTTCAGCCTTCCGCGATACGTCCGATACATCTGAAACGTGTGTTTTTGTATTGCATTGGAAGTTAGCCTCAGCTTTTCGTTTGCCACCGTCGCGCTCGCCTCACTTTGTCCAGGGGTGGTTGTTTTGTTTTCAGTGTCTTGGCCATCCTCGCTCTTTGTTTTCCCGCCCGCCTTGGCTGTTCAAAGCAGCAAGTCTTTTCCATCAACTTGGTAGCAGCTTCCATCTTGTGATATTCCATTTCAAGCCGCATATTTGTTGTCCATAGAAGTGCGAGCCCCTGCTTCTCGGTTGCTGTTTTTCGCAAAGAGGGGGCAGATTGCATCCGATGGGTTGGCCCCATGCCACTACGCTCTGAGGTGGTGCGCGCCTGGGACGTGCGGGACGTGTCGGACCAGGTGCACTCGATGGGGGCCAAGTGGGTCGCTGTGGACTTCAAGGAGCGCCAGCTGAGCAGCGGACCAGCGGACCAGCCCGCTTGTGGCTTCGCCTGGCGCGGAAGTTGGTTTGACTTGGTGGGTTTGGCTGGCTCCTCTCTTGGGTGTTTGCGCTGCGCTTTTGTTTGCGGCTCTACGTCGCGTCAGGGCGTCTTTACTCCAGCGCAAGCTCCGCGAGCGTGAGCTGACACCAGTGGATCTGATGCCTGCAGGTAGATCGCAACCGCATTTGTACGTCCAATTTTCAGGCACCACAGACGGGCTCCAGGCCCGACAAATATATCAACTGGGCTATTGAATCCAGTGCTGGGGCGTGTTGCGTGCTCCTTCTCTTTTCAGGAGAGCGGCGAGGGCCAGGGCGGCTACGCCAAGGAGAGCTCCGACGCCTTCAAGAAGTTCCAGCAGGAGACCTTCAAGCCGCCCGGGCGGCAGATGGCAGCGGATCTTTCGTTTGAGCGGGATATTGGGGACGTCTTCCCGCCAGGAAGAGTGATTCGAACTTAAACTGGGGGAGCCTGTGGCTGAACCAGCATGCAGCAGTGTGGGGATTTCTCATTGCGTGTTTCCTTTGCAAGTTTGCCAGCAAAGAATGTTGCAGCAAAGAGCGAATTGCCATTATGCCCTCTCTTGGCCAGTGTATTCAAGCAAGCTTGGGTTTTCTTGGGCTGGGTGGTCCAGAAGGCACTTCTCCAACTCCTCCGCCAACTCAGCCGCTCGCGCGCGCGCGCTCGAGCTGAGGAAGGTCCTCTCGGAGGTGGACATCGCCATCAGCACCGCGGCCATCCCGGGGAGGCCCTCCCCGCTGCTCATCACCAAGGACGCGGTGGCGGCCATGAAGCCCGGCAGCGCCCGAACCTGAGCCCGAGCCGAGTCGAGGCTCGGTTTTGTTATTTTCTGGAGCTGGTGTCCCTGTTTTGGTGGTTTCAAGCAAAACAGAAGGAAAAAAGAACTATTTTGGGGGATCCCCTACTGGGTCAGGGTGACCCAAGCGAAAAGAGAAAAGACAAAACCAAGAAACAAGAAGCCGGCCAACATCATGTGCTAGGAAACTGCAAGTATGCTCGCCGCTCAGGGGTTTTGATCTGGAGTCCCATGGCAGTTTTTCTGGGCAGCGCCGGAAAGCTTCCTTAAAGGACAACCGCTGTAAATGTTGCTGTGCTGGGTGTTTCCTGTTCATGGACTGACATTCTTTTGTCACTACTAGGGCAGAGGTTGAGGGACCTCTCCATCCCTCAGGACCTCTCCATGGCACCTTTTCCACCGATGCCGAGGTCATCGTGGACCTGGCCGCCCAGGGGGGCGGCAACTGCGAGCTCACGAAGCCCAACGAGATCTACACCACGGAAAACGGGGTGACCATCATCGGGTACTCAGACATGCCGGCCCGCGGTTTGGCAGAAAGAGGGGGTGGACTGGAGACTGGGAGACTGGGAGAGGTGGGGGAATGAATGTTGTTACCTGTACAGCTGAACACATGGTCGATGCAAACCTTGCAAAAGATTCGTTTGCACCATGCCCCACCTGCTTGGCTAAGGTATGGCGAACCAGGCCAGCACAATGTGTCTCGGAAGAGCTATTGGTCGTGGGGCAAATTTGGGTATTGCTGATAGGGAGTGTCAACAGGAAAGAGGCCTGGCGAATCGTAGGCAGCTTGCTTGCGTCCAAGACGTCCGAGCCCGGCTCTGCTTTCAGACCTATCCTCACGTTTTCTCGTGGTTCATGCGGCAAGCTCACCTCAGGTACGCGCAGAACATGTGCAGCTCGGCGGATAAAGCCGTTTATGCGAGTGTTGTGCGGCATGGGGTGGATGCCGGGAACATGAAAGTGAACACTTCTGCTCCCCAAAGAAGAAGGGAGGGTATTTATATTTATATTTTTATTTTTTTCTTCGCTTTTGGCTTCTTGGCTTCCTGGCTTTTTGGCTTCTTGGCTTCTTTGCATTTCGGCTTCTTGGCTTTTCGGCTTCTTGGCTTCTTGGCTTTTTGGCTTCTCGGCTTCTGGGCTTTTCGGCTTTTTGTTGGTTTGTGCGGCTTTTGGTGGCTTTTTGGCTTTGGCTTTTCGCATCCTCTGCATTCCCAGTTCCTCTTCGGCAGGTGGTTTATGCGGCTTTTGGCGGCTTTTTGCATCCTCTGCTTCCACAGTTCCTCTCTGGGCTTTTTGGCTTTTGCACCCTTTCATTGGTTTTTGGATTTGGCTTCCCGCATCATCGGCATCACCAGTTCCTCCCTATTTGAATCATCACTTCTTCGAACATCATGGGGGGGAACCCCCCCCCCCACCCGCTACTGTTTAGATTGTTTGCACAGTAATTGCACCCCTATTTGAATCAACACTTCTTCAAACATCATGGGGGGGGCTGCCGCCCCCCCAACTCCCCCTGCTACCGTTAAAATTTCCTTCAGAGATTGAATTGCACCCCTATTTGAATCATCACTTTTTCGAGCGTCCAATTTCGCGAGAATTTTAGGTAATCTGTGTAATCCATGTATGTCTCTAGGTATGCACTTCTTCGAACATGATAGGGGAAGCCACCCCCGCCAACCCTCCCGCTGCCTTTTAAATTCTATCGCACCCCTCCTCGCTACGTCTTAGATTTTCTACAGAGATTTAATTGCACCCCTAGTTGAATAACATCATGGGGGGGCTGCCGCCCACCGCAACCCCTTCTACTTTTTAGACTTTTTGCAGAGATTGAATCACTTCTGCGAACATCATAGCCCCCCCCCCCCCCAACCCCCCTGCCACTTTTTTTTTTCTTTTACAGTGATTTTTTTTTACAGGGACTGAAATGCCCTCCTATTTGAATCATCATTTTTTTGATCCCGTCAACCCGCCAGCTACTTTTTCGATTTTGTTACCCACGATTGGTTGGTGATGCTAGGGATGTTGGTCGGACATGCGGGGGATGTTGAAAACGATGCTGGGGACGTTGACGGGCTAGTGTAAATTGCGTCAATTTCGCGAGAAAATGCTGTAAAATACGACATTTTACTGGCCCGGACGGAACAAACAAATCTAAAAAACACATTCCCAAAATACATCTGCACCCAAGAGGAAGTAGCAAAGCCTCAGTTGGGGGGTGTTGATCAAAAGGTCCTTTACATGGGATGACCATTGGTTGGAAAGCCACCACAAAGCTGATATGTCCATGAAAGGGGAAAAGTAGCCCATGGTCATTTGGGGGCCAGGAATATTGATCAACAAGACTGTTCACAGCTTCCCAGCTCACTTCTAGCGATGCTGGAGGCAAAGCTGCACCACCGAGGCAATCTTCTCCGACACATCCATGCCAAGGGCAAGGCCGCGGAGTTTTTGAAGAACCTCAACGGAGCCCTTGATGCAGGCCTTGCGAAGTGGGAAGTCTGCACGGCCAGTGGTTCATCCACTCCGTCGGTCTGTTTCACCTTGAATCGTCTTTTTTTCTGCATGTCGCTCGAGCATTGCAGCACCCGGTTGGCAAGGCGAAGAAGGCGACATCGTCTCCCGCAGCATTGTGTGCAGCCGCAACGGCCAGCTCGCGGGAGTCTCAATGAGTCGGGCCGTGGAGAGGTGCTCCAAGTGAAAGGAGGGTGCAGCGTTGACTGTGTCAAAGACGGAACCCCAGTTTGGCTCATTGCAAACACCGACAAGAACCAACCTCTGGTGCGGGGTTTGTTGTTTGGGCCTCCTGCAGTTCGTCCGTCTCCTTGGACGACTTGGCTCTGCTGCCCGGGCTTGCGAAAGGAAGCAGGGGCGGCCTAGTGGGGCAGCATGTTTGTCCTCCTCCTCTTGTCCTTCCCTATGGGTAGTCTGAAGCCTAGCTAGTGGCTCAACCCTGTCTTTCTCCCTCGGTTGTTGCCTGGTTCCAAGGTGGAAGCTTGCGCCACGTCCAGTTTGAACCACATTTTGCTGCAAACCGAGCACAACCGATTTACCTCAACCTGGCTGTGGCATGAAAGTGTGTTACCCCTTCTCAAACCTTGTGACAAACGCTTCAAATTCTACATTGTACATGAGAGTTTCCCTTTTTTGAGATCTCAGTGGTAATTTGAGTGCCCTGGTCCAAAGAAGTGAGGCCGGATCTTTGCGCCACGGTTTCTTCCAGGCTTCAGAGGCATTCCTTTAGCCGCCTAGGCCGCTAAACCCCGGCTCGGCTCCGAGGTGAAGATGCCGCCGCCGCCCCAGCCGACCCCGGTGAAGCCAAAGGCGGCGGCGCCTGCGGAGAAGAAGGCGGCGAAAGCGGACCCCTTGAAGGCAGGGCTCGGGAGGTGTGGCGCTGACGCCTGGGAAGGGCTGAGGGATGCTGAGGGATGTTGTCATATTATGAAGAAAAGGAACAAAGAGGATATCATGTTTCCTTGCTTTCTGAGGGAAGCGCAAGGTAACTTGTAGATGCGGAATCGAGGGATGACATTCAAAGACCACTGAGGGACTTCAAAACAATGGGGCCGTGAAGGCAAGTCAAAGCTTCTTTGGGATTTTTGCAAATGGATGTGCGCAAGAATTTGAAAAGCGGAAAACTTTTTTGCAGCTGTTTGACAGTCAACTGCGAGGGAGCCCAGTATCTTGAGGCAGATGAGCTGCGACACAAGCTAATTTGCCTGCTCTCTCATCCTTTGGCCTGCTTTGCCCTGCCGCTTTGCAGGCGAGCTTGGTGTCTGCCTTTGTGCTGACCTTCGGCATCTGCTGCTTGCTGGCCATGGGCGAGGGCGTGAAGAGCTCGCTACTGACCACCTTCCTCCTCGCTGGAGCTGCAGGCCTGTGGGGGTGGGAGGGCGTGTGGAAGATGGGGCAATGGAGGCAACTTAGGAGACGGGTTTGAGATTATTCGGCCTCAGTTGTCAAGATCCCATTTGAGCCGTGCATCTCACTACAAGCCAAGCGTCGTAGGTCAAGACTTGCCTAGGTATGGGAAGCAGGTCGAAACAAAACACACAGGGGGATTTCAGTGCAGTGAAATGTGGTGTGTTGAGGACTCGGGCATTCGGAGTTTGATCGAAGGGATTGGTGGCGCAGTCAACTTGCATGTTTGATTGGAACTCATGCCGGCACGGCTCGGGCGAGCTGAGGCTACCAGGCAGTGTGGGGCGTTGCCCATGCGCTGCACACGCCGCTGATGTCTGTTACCAACGCGATCTCCGGGTGCACCGCACCTCGGCCAACCCCTTCTGCCAGCCTGACAGCTGCTTTCAATGTACTTCCCCAGATTGTGCGGTACTGAGGTGAGTTCAACCGCTCAACCCGTGCGCCACAGGGCGCGGTTCTGCGAGCTGAGCTGTAGCCGAGGCCATCGGGGGTTTGCTGCTGCTGGAGAAATCCGAGTCCCCGGTGGCGTATCAACTGGCGGCCCTTGCGGTGCTGGTCTCCTCGGTCAGGGGCCCCAGTCCCGGCCACCGGATGACGCAGCCAGCACGGAGTAGCCTACATAGGTCACAGACATCACACGCTATTTACACTGATTATGCTTGCCTATTTACATTAGACGTATGCACATATTTGTATCATACATATGTAAATGATATATATATATATATATATATAATATATGTTATGTTACACACACACACACTTTTATTGTGCCATTCACCCAGTTTGCTGAATTTTCAGAAGGGTGTCACAACGCAGCCTGGCTTCTTCATGAACCCAAGCCGAAGCGAGGTCAACATCTTCGGCGGCTTCGTGGTGTCCCAGCGCATGCTGAATTTGTTTAAGAAGCCAGGGGACAAGGACTACTCAGGACGGAGCCTGCGGATCGCAGATTGGATCGTTTGAATCTGAAGTCAACATTTCAGGCTCCTTAAAAACAAAGCAAATCCAGACTCAATCCTTGCAGCGCTACTATTCTTCACCAGAAGGGCTACAGTAATCAGGACAGCAGTGCAGTTTGGCCCAGCCTGACTGTCCTGGGTATGCTGACTGCTCTTGATCAGGAACACTCTTTTTGAAACCACAACAGAGGCAGTTTGGAAAAAAAGGCAAGTGATTTTGGTGACTCCAACACGGAGTAAGATTCAACGCTTTCTGCTTTGAGCTGTTCTTCCCTTTGCCAGCCAGGAATGATGCTGTTCCCTGCAGTCATCTTCCTCATCATCTCATTGCAAGCGCCTGACTTGCTGAAGGCGGGGATTGTCTCTCTGAGCTCTTTGAGGACATGCCTTGTTTTGCCTCTGTTTTTTTTTGCTCGGTCGTGCAGGTGAAGCTTGAACGCCCTTCATGGGTCTCACAGTCCCTGGCTTCTTCTTGTTTAATCTTTTGACGGGCCTGTTCAGGCCGTGAGCACTGTCTCAGCGCTGCTCTGCGTTGCCGCAATCGGCGGTCTGGCCACGATGTCCACGGCGAACGCCGGGTGCAAGTTTGGCGGCTCGGCGTGCCAAAGGTCGGGGATCTGACATCCAAGTGTTTTGATTGGCCCAGCACCTGATTGAGCGCTACAACCCAGCAAAATTCGGGCTGGTTCACGGATAAGCTATGGACCAGATTCCCTTTGCTCTCTCATGGGGCAGCCTGACCACCACGCCGTGGCAATGTTGCCGCGCCCGAGGCATGGTCGGTGTGTTCGGCGGCATGATCGCCACGATGGTGGGTTTGTCGAAGGTGCGGGTCCTGGTGCCACCTGCACCCTTGTTGTCTCACTTCGTGAAAGTAGGTGTTTTGGGAATGAAATTGCGGATGGAAGACGTGCGGCACCTGTGCATGAAAAAACACCACCATTGAAAGCATACTTGGAGATTTCTCGACATTCTGCCTGGTTTGCCTTTTCCTTTCCGCTTAGGCGAACCTGCTCTTCAGCTCTTTGCTGCTGGTGATCGGTGGTTCGGCAGGTGGGAGTCACGGATATGTTAACTGCCCACAGTTTTGGTGGCTGGGCTTCGTAAATGTAGGCGTCATTGTGAGACTTGCCATCAAGTTTGAATGGAAGCACAAAATCTCATTTTTGGCCTTGTGTTTGGCTCTTTCATTTGTCCCGCATCAGTTGCCGCTCTGCCCCAATTCAAGTCTTAGGAAAGACCTTGTGCCAGTATCAAAATTTCTCAACATGCACCACTTAGAGGACCCTCGCTCAACTTGCAAGTTGATTCAAAGCTGTTGACTTGCGTTGCGCCTCGCGGCGCACTCACTCCAGTGTGAACATATTGGCCGAATACATGACGGCCCCGTGACAGAAGCGATGTGATCATGCCATGCCCGTGATGCCTGTGTGGTGTTCTTCACCAGAAACGCGCTTGTGGAGATTTGACCTTTGGAGTGTCGGTAGTGTCAAACATGCCAGTGACAGAGCTGGTACTGGAATGGAACGATAGACAGAGCCCTCTTTTCGAGGCACGTCTGCCGGTTAAGACATGCAGCTTTTAGCTTCTTGGCTTGCCCTGAGCTACTGGAACCGTAGGAAAGGTTGGATGGGTTGCTTGTTGTTCTTCAGCAACAAGTATCTGGCAATGTCTCCTTAACCCCGATATTTTGCTGCACACAACATGTTTGAGGACGCGCTTTCGGTCTTGTCCCAGGCCCTTGATGAGAGCACTGAACCTTGGCGTCTGCTCTCTGCGCGGGTGCTCCAGTTTTTTGTTTGCATTTCTGGATGTTTCTGCGGCAGTGGCTCAGCAGCATGGCATGTAGCCAGAGCTGCCATGGGGCCGTCAAGGAATCGGGAGTGGAGTACAGATGAGGCGGTGGCGAGCGAGCGCGAGACTCTGCTGTATGGCATGATGCCAAGGCTACAGGAATTGCGGCATCCCGTTGTGACCATTGTGGCAAAGGTCCTTGGCTGCGCGTGCCTGTGCCTGGTGTTTCTTTGGCTCATGCCTCCAGTCAACGCGCTGCGTGGGGATTTCCTGGCCGTGCAGGGTGACTTCTGCGAGTGCTGCGGGGGTGGCCACGGCTGGTACGGTCGCATAGCGCTGGCCGGGGACGGCCGTTACTGCCTGGGGGTGCAGGAGGGAAAGTACCACAACGGGTCACAGGTGAAGCTGCAATTGTGCGGTCCCTTAGCCAGCAGACCGGGCAACCTGTTGTGGGAGCTCAGTGACGGCGCTGACTTTAGCCTACGCTGTGCAGGCTCGGGACCGGTGCAGCTGCGACTGAAGGCTGCTCCGCAAATGTGCCTGGACGTGCATGACCACGGCGACTGGCTGCAGGAAGGCTTGTTTGACGATCATGGCATAAACCCGTCCAACTACATGCAGATTTGGCAGTGCAATGTGGATGCTCGGGCTGTCCACGATCAGCAGTACTTCATCGACAGCCTCGCAGGGGGCCACGAGTTTCGTATAAGATGGGCTGGCCGCAACCAGCGCTACTACCTCGACCTCAAGGATGGGGAAGCCTATGCTGGCACGCCTTTTCAGGTTTGGAGCATCAGCGGGCGAAATCAGATCTTTGCGAATTACGTGTACTGATCCGCAAGGGCGTAGGTCGAGCACGGGACCCGACACTGAACATTTTGTTCCGTGCCAGATTGGCCTAAGTGCGTTTGAAGTGAGCCACAATCGTGGGCTGACTTCTTTAATACCGACTTAGACGTAGGTTTTCAATTTCCAAGTCCTTCTCTGCCCAATCGGGCAATTAGGCAGCATAGATCCTCGTTTAGGCCACTACGTGCCTTCTGCTGAGTCGAAGAAACATGGGGCGAACGCCCACTTCATTTTTGGCGTTGCTTTTCTTTGTGTGAAGGGCTTTGGGGTATGGTTCAACTAGCCAGGCTCTCAGGCAACCCTAAGTTGGTGCGAGAGGGCAAATGGGAATCTACTTCAATCAACCACCGCACCGGACCACCAAAATCTGCCAATGACCAGGAAGCGGCTCGTTTTTTCTTTTTATTTTTTTTCCTCGGATCGCCAGGCATCTTCATGGGCCTGAAGGTGAGTCCCATCGCGCTGCCGCAGACGGTGGCGGCCTTCCACTCGCTGGTGGGACTGGCAGCCATGTGCACCTCCATCGGCAGCTTCGTGAGCCGCAGCCGGGCAGAACCGTTGCTTGAACCAGGCGGCAAGCCGTTGCTGGCAGGGAGGGTGACCCAAAAGGTCAGGCTAGTATTTCTTGGCTTGGATTGGGAGCTGGGGATTTGGACTGGGTCTTGGAGAGGGATGGGAAACCACCCCCATCTCACCACAATCCACGGGCCTGCAAACCACCGATTCGAGGGAGGCGGACATAGGGACGCTTTTGATTGTTTGGAACAGGCACGCAAAAACTGCAGCCTTGTGATGCACCTGTGGAAGGAGTTTCTGGGGGTACTATTTGAAGTTTTGAGTGAGGGAAGTCGCGATTGTGCTTTGCCTGACTTGGCTGTTTGCACGTCACTCAAATTGTTTGCTTGAGAACAAGATGGCTCCTTTTCTTCTCCTTTCCCGGATTGCCACGAGCATGTGGCCATGTCCTGGGTTCACAGGATGAGAGGCGCCAGTCTGGGCACCAGGATCAAAGGAACGAGCGAAGGCCAATTCTTGGTGTTTTGATAAGTGCTTTGACCCAAGCACAGCTGGGGGTCTACTCCTGCTCCTCGTTGCGGAACCCAGGACCAGTGTCTGGCGCCGCATGGCTGAATGGAAGGGATGTAGTGCCACCAGCGAATGATCTTTGCGGGGTTAATGAGAGAGCCACGAAGGTCAGACTCGCCTCAAATTGCAAAGCTTGCTGAGCCGCTGAATCGCTTTAACCGTTTGGTCACCGGAACTCCTTGCCAGCTCTATGAAGTTGGAAGTTGGTCCTTGCGCAAGTGCAGCGCTTGGATCGCCAAGTCGTGTGTCTCAAAAACGAGGCCACCATGGAGAACACCTCGGCCATTTTGGGCGACTTCATCGGGGGCGTCACCTTGACCGGTAGCCTGATCGCCTTTGGCAAGCTGAACGGGAACCTGAGCCGGGGCCTAAGCAGTGGGTCGGGTTGGTCGGGTGGCCTAGGGCAGTCCTTGAATTTTTTGACTGTGTTAGACCGGACCAATCGGAGATGGCGTGAAATGATAGCCAGTTGAAGTAAGTCGCTGGCGGTCAGCTGCATTTGTTTAAGGACGTGGTTTTTCTTCTTCGCAGACAAGGGTGACAATTCAACCACCATTCACCTTTTGCACATCATTTCCTGGAGGTTTCTACATGAAGCAAACACAATCCAGAAACCGTTGGAGGGCCAGCAGAAGAGTGGCTCGCTGCTTGCTTGGAAGATGCCTGACATTTCGATGCCTGACATTTCCATAAATCAGAAGTCAGGAGCTTTCCCTGAAACGCATAACGCATGCCACTAGCGTAGCCTTCCTCGCATGTCCTACTTGGACTTTGAGGTGGCTGGTTTTGTTGGGAAACGGGCTCACCCCTGACTCATGGAATTCCTGGTTTTAACCACCTACTTCACTTCACTTCTGTGCTTCGAATAGATGTTTTCAAGATGCATTTGGTTGCCTTTGGGTACGCATGTGCCATGGGGATTGCCTTCATACTAGCGCATGAACTTGTTTTTGCAAGAATTGTTTCGGTGTTGTTGAGCATGCGATGCGCCATAGGGATTGCCTTCTTTTTGGCGAGCAAACATACATAGTCAAGCAACATTTCGGTCCCAACTGGTATGTGATGCGCCATGCTGGTTGCCTTCTTACTCATACTTAAACATGTATGCTTAAAATGCGCTTAAGCGCCTTGTAATATGCGATGTGCCATGGGGATCGCGGCCGTAGTGGCGCTCAGACAAAACAGTCTTAGGAGACACGTTGCGGTTGATTATGCAATGTGCCATGGGGGTTGCCTTCATTTTTGTGCTTCGAAAAGATGTCTTTGAGATGTGTTTGGTTGCCTTTAGGGTATGCATGTGCCATGGGGATTGCCTTCGCACTAGCACACGGACTTGTTTTTGCAAGACTTGTTCCGATGTTGTTGAGCATGCGATGTGCCATGGGGATTTCCTTATTTTTGGCGTGCAAACACATAGTCAAGCAACATCCTGGTCCCAGCTGGTATACGATGTGCCGTGGGGATTGCCTTCTTACTCGTACTTAAGCGTGTATGCTTAAAATGCGTTTAAGTGCCTTGTAACATGCGATGTGCCATGGGGATTGCGTCCGTAGTGGTACTCAAACAAAGCAGTTTTAGGAGACACTTGGGCGTCGTGTGCCAGTGGGGAAGGCTCAGTTGCAAGGACCCCGCGGGTCCTACTCGTTGCGTTGTTTTTACTGGCAGGCTGCGGACTTTCAAGAAAAACACGAAAATGCAAGGACTTTCGCGTTTGGGTGTACCTGGAAGGTCACGTATTTTCTCCACTTCCGCGAAAGTGACACCGATGGAGCTTGATTCATCCGCCCGAGGCTCCAAGGAGCTGTCGCTGCCCGGGAAGAACTACTTGAACCTCACCGGGCTGTTTCTTTTTATCTTCTTCATGTACCTCTACCTCCAGCCAGGCCATGAAAATCGCGGTGCCTGATGTCGTGGTTTGTGGTTCTACTTGGAATGAGACTAGGTGTGCTGAGAGGGGTCCGAAACCGATCCCTCCGAGGGCAGGACCGCACCCTGGTTAAGTGAGAGTCTCTTTGTCATCAGACACGGTCATTTCATTTCGAATGATTTTGAATGCATCATTTGAGAGGACGGATGGCCCGAGCTGGAGCTTACAGACATTCGGCCGGTCCATGGGTTCGAAGGTCCAAGTGAGCATGGGCCAAAGTTAAGCCAGCAATTGCACTGCAGGTTTAAGTCCTTTTCACACTTACCAGTGCAACACACTTTGGGTACCCTTTTGCGACCCACACCCAAGTCTCCGCAGATGAGAAGCACGGCGTGCTGATCCTGTGGATCGTGGGAGCCTTGGCCTGCCTCATGGGCCTCCACCTGGTGGCCAGCGTGGGCGGCGGCGACATGCCCGGCCCTCGACCCCTCGACCGGCCAAATGGACTTGCCATGTGGCTGTGGTTCTCAAAAAACCGGAATACAAAAATGGGTTGCCCTGGTAAGTGGAAACATGGACCAAAACCAACGGTTTGCCCCTCTTGGTTAGTCTTGAGCCACACCCATGTGGGTGTGGTTGTCCAAGATAGCTAGTAACCCCAACATGGGTTGCCCCGGTAAATGGAAGGTGGTTGAATTCGACCCATACCCATGTGAATATAGCGCAACCAAACAGGGAAGAAATCCACCAACCAGCTTTGTTATGTGGAGTTCCGCCAAGTTTTTTGGAGTTCCATTTCTTCAAATGTTCTCGGCAGCAGCCATCGTAGACTGCCCACAGAAGCCGTGTGGACTTCCAGCCGTGCTGTCGAGGCCAGTGTGCATCACAGTGCTGAACTCATATTCCGGCTGGGCCTTGGTCGCAGAGGCGCAGCACGGCCCTGCCTTTGGTGTGCTGAAGAGATGTCAAGCGGTTTGCAGGGCTTCCTGCTGAATAGCAACGTCCTGACCATTGTGGGCTCCTTGATCGGCTTTAGCGGAGACTCGTCTCAAATGGATGAAGGGGTCGAACCAGGCAGGCAACAAGGTTGGCACTGCTTGTATGCCTTGAGTGAACCGGCGTCCTGGCAAGTCCGTTTCAGTTGGGAAACTCCGGGAGCGACATCAGTGGATGAAGGCCACATATCTTAGGAGCTATCCTCACGAAGATCATGTGCGATGCAATGAAGCTTGGCGTGCGGTAATCCACAAAAGGCGGGATGCCAGGCCAAAAGCTTGGGTGCACTTGCACTTTATGTACAAGCAGCGGGGATGGCATGGGAGTTTGCTTCCTTGGCATTTGGGGGACAACTTCAGCGTGGTGAAAGGCTGGCAAACGGCAAGGTTGCCACTTTTTCAGACGTTGCAACCTTTTTCAACCAAAAGGCGTTGCCCGTCGGCCAATTTTGAGGGGTTCACCAGAGTGATCTGTCCGCTGCGTTTGTTGTTTGTTGTCTTTTGGTCTGTCCAGGAATCGCGACATCTTCAATGTGCTCTTTGGTGGCATGAACAACGCTCCTGCAGTGAAGGGTGATGATACTGGCCCCAAGGCGCGTGAAACCATTTTGTTTTCTGTATCGATGAGTGTCTAGGGTCTAGGGTCAAGTCGATGAAACATCAACAGGAGGACAGGTTGGGCAGAACACTTCAAGCCACCTCTTTCGTGCCCCAAGGTTTGGCCCTTGGCTCAGCTTTTGGACAAGTTCTTGGGGAGGATGCCTTTTGGGGGACCTGAAGCTCTTTCAACCTGTGTCCAAAGGTGTCACTTCTTGCCCAAGTTTTCCTCAGGCACTCTGACATGATTTTGAGTCGCAGCCATGTGGTCAATGTTGTAAACAAGCATGTTGGGAATTTCAGAGAAACAGGCAACAAAACAACAAAAGCAAATGGCTCAACTGCAAGAGTGGTGATTTGTTTGCCTTCAAACAAAAGATCAGGATATTTTGCAGCTCGTGGCAGTGACACACTTATATGAAGGCAGTTTGCCATCCTCCTCTGTTGGCACTGTCAGGAGCATGTCGAATGCAACGTGGACCTTTGCGCTGAGATGCACCTTGGCAACTCATAGTGAGCTTGGCTTGGGCGAACATATTTCCCCTGCGTTTCCACACCCTTTTCAACCAGGTGAACCACACACACACAACAAGGACAACAACCACAACAATCACAACAAGCACAACAGCTACAGCAACCGGAGCCACCACGGGCACTACAGCCATCAAAGAAACCACAGAAACTCCAGCAGTAGCACGAGCCATTGAAACACACGGGCCACACAAGGCACACATCTCAACAACTAAAGTCTGGGCAAAAAGTGCCACGTTTCCTTTAAGTACCTCCTCACACCTACTACCCTACATAACTGAGCATTTGTACGGCTGGGACCAAATCAAGCCCTGTGGTGTACCCCCGGCCATGCACATAATGGGTTTCTCAGTACGCACCACACAGCTACACCTGGGGTGCATGATCCCTGAATCAATGGCAATGCTTTCTTTTTTGTTTTCCTTGACATTCCATGGCGAAGGCCAGAAAAGGGAACCTCGCCCGGGAATCGGATTTCCTTTGCTTTTCCTCCACAAATAGCCGGACTTGTGGTCTCCACGGCACGGGAGCAGTGGAACCTGGGATGGCGTGACCAGGTCCTATACTGTCCGAGCATCGCGCTACTCCATACCATCACCTTCCTCAAATATATTGAAACCCACGTGCTGAGGCTGGTGAATGCCAAGGAGGTGCTTGTGGTGCCGGGTTACGGCGCCTCGGGCGTTGTGTTGCGCCGTCGATTTCTGCCTCGGGCGTTGCTTTGGGGCAGTTGTTGCGGTCACGTGAGACGCATTTGGCGTGAAAGTCGACAGGGTTTTGCCAACTTTTCTCCAGACATGTTGAGGGTAGTGTTGCAACATGAAGCAAGCATGTGAGCGACACGTGATGCCATTGTTAAGTTCATGAGATAGGAAGGACATCATCACGCTGTGTGTGTGTGTGTGTGTGTGTGTGTGTTTGTTTCGACATGCAAGCGGTGGCCTTGCTCCCTTTAGCAATAAGGTTTGTTCATCGCTTGCCGGGTTCTTGTTGCGCGGGTCATGTGTTTTGTTTGACTTGCCTACCTGTGGAACGGATATGACGGGTGCCGCAGAGAATCGAGGCATGGCCATGGCGAGAGCCCAGACACCCATGGGGGAGTTGGCCGCGATGCTGCGGAAGAACAACATCACCCTGAAGCCAACGGCTCAGAGGACAAATCCAAAGGGAAAGAGGTGAAACAGAAAAAGAAAGACAGAAAGAAAGAAACAAACAAACAAGCAAAAAAAAGAGAGCGTTGTGCAGGGTCCAACACGTTCGTGGTTCGTTTTCAGGTCTTTCCTGCCTAGCCGTGCCAACGACAAACGCCTAAATGCATACCTAGAGGTCCGTAAAAGAGTTGAGCTGGAAGTCGGGCTTACTGGAATCGACTGCCCGCCCTTTGGCTCAGTATTCTCTGGCTCCCAGGTTTGGCGTGCACCCAGTGGCCGGCCGAATGCCGGGCCAGATGAATGTGCTCCTGGCTGAGGCAGGCATTCGGGTCTTAGGGCAGGGTGCTGAGGTTAGTTTACGATCCAAGGTTGGCGCATGGTGCTTGGCGCGGTCAGTCTTAATCCTACGCCGTTCCATCATTTCTCCGCACTCACAAAGTAAAGTGCCCCAGGGATGACTGAATATTTGGCATCACGACTGCTCACAGCTACCATGGAACCAGACGTACCGAATGTGCCCAAACATGTGACAGACAGCTTTGATTCATATATATATATATACATATATACCGTGCTAGTTGGATGGTCCAATGGCCATGTGCTGCAGAACACGCGAGGCCGGTGTCCCGCACGAGTGGGTTCTGGAGATGGACGAGGCCAGAGTTGCCTCAACTGACCGTTCCCTCAGCTGAGCAAAGGGATTTTACTGAGGGCTTGTTAACTTCATGAAAAACCCGTTGATGGCTTGGAGCGCCGGTCAATTGGCAGAATCACGCGAGGCTGGAATCCTTCTTCGCCCTTGTCACGTCTTTCCTGCTCTCCCCCTGCCAACTTTTCTGAGGGTGTAATCTCACCGCACCAAACGATCAGGTGAATCCTGACATGGAGAACTTTGACGTGGTGCTTGTGATGGGCGCCAACGATGTAGTGAACTCTGCTGCTCAGGAGGGGCTCACAAAATGTTGGGGACTGACAGGATGAATTTGGGCGCGTCTCAAAGCGAGGGTGCGTTGGACACAACCAACAAATACCACATTGCTATGGTTTCATCAAAGCGGGCATGAAATCAAGCACTGGAGTACTTCTAGATTTTTCGGTTGATGTGCTAGCACTGACGGGCGGGCATCTCCTTTTGCAGCTGGCCAAATTGGTCCTGCAGGAGTTGGAAGGCTGTGCCATCTGGGGCATGCCAGTGATCGAGGCGTCTGCGCATCACGTTTGAGAGTGCAAAACGGCTTGCTAAGTGTTTAGGCCGTCCAAACAGCCGGTCTGGAACACGGTGTGCTTCCGTGCCTCCTGCTGCGGAGATAGCAAATTGTCCGGCAGTTGACAGCCCACCCCTCGAATGTTCTACAGAATCGATCGAAGAATCGAAGGCCTAAGGCCTGGGGAAAGGGGGACACGGATTTCTGCACGTGGGTTGCGGCTGTTGTATACGGGGTGTTTGTGCTTCCCTGCCTGCTTGCTAGGTCTGGCGAGCGAAGAAGGTGATCTTCTGTAAGCGATCCATGGGAGGAGGCGAGAGCTGCAGCTAGTCGCTCGCTTTGGTTCACAACGCATCCCCGTCAAGTTAGCCAGAGTTGTTGAAAGGGCGCAGCGGACTCAGTGAGCCTAGCATAAGAGTTTGGTTGCCAACGGCCTCGGTTGTTGACGCAGGTTGAGAATTATTTCTTGGCCGCAGGGTTTGGACTCAGAATAGTCTGTTGCCTTGCTCAAGAGCGTTCCACTTGAGGGATCTTACTGTCATGTACTCCCCAGACTGCCTGATGTACTTGATATTGTGGCCCGCAAAACAGGATGGTTGTCGTCCGTGCAACAAGCTGCAAAGATAGCGCAGGCTATGCTGACCTGGACAATCCCGTGTTCTACAAGAGCAACACGGACACTTGGCAGGGAGTAGGGAGCATTTGCTACTGGAACGTTGACTGCTTTTCCAGTGCACGAAGTGAAGTGAGGGGGCGGCAGGTCTGCATGGTCCGCATGGTCACTGTCATTTTGGTTCGCGCACACTGGATTGAAACGCCACCTCATGGTGGGCTAAGGAGATGCTTCTTGGAGATGGCAAGAAGACGGCAGATTCGCTGGTCACCAAGGCAGATGTTTTCCTTTTCCAGTCAGCCGCGGGATTCTGCTCTGCCGCGTAGCATTGTGAGAACCTTACCAAAGCTTGCCAAATAAACATTGCTTTGCCAGGTTCGCGAGCGTCTCGAGAAGGTCTAAGGAGACTACAGCGCTGCTTGGCAAGAGCAGTCCTTTTGGTGGCAATTGCAATCTGGCAAAATAAGGCAAAACAGGCACAAGCGGGAGCGCGTGGACAGTTCTTTCGCACTGCATGATATGAAACCATCAACGCGTGAATCTGTCGAACGGAGGCATAGAGAGGCAGGCGGGCCTGTTTCATTTCATTTGTTGCTTTGCCCATCTGAGGCCAGGACGTTTGACATTTTGAACTCTCATCTCAATTTTGTCGTGGAGAGTGCACCCAGCACGGTGGTACAGTTGAGTCGCAGACACATTCACCAAAGTTTCGAACGCTTGAATGTGAGCTGCGACTGCAACGCGTTTCAGTTTAATATTTGAGTCCCATGGAGCTGCTCCAGACGCCTTGACCATATTGAGAGATGGGCATGCGTTGCCCGTGCAACATAAACTTCACGGTTTGCAGTGTGTCCCATTTGTACAAGCACCCGCACAACGCAGACCAAAACCGCAAGGCCATTCGGAAGAGCCCAGGAAATGATGCTAGAGGGGCAGCTCCTTGTTCCTCAGACGCACTCACGCATCGGCACCTGTGCCAGTCCAAAATGTCGGACGCGAGGATGATGCGTGATGCGTCTGCTTTGCTTTCAGAGTAGGACCCAAGTCGAAAGACATGAAGGCCAGCGAAAAGGGAGTGTCACTGCTCAGTGGATATGATCCCAAGTTTGCCACAGGCAGAGGTGGCAAGGTCACTTGCGGTTTTGTCCAGGGCGAATTGGGGGCTGAACTGGAGCGCCGCAGCTTGGCGATCAAGGGGAGCTTGTGCTTCCAGCCTTGGCAATGGATTGTGATTCGCACCTCGAGTCAAGCCAGGCGAGGTCGTTGCCATGCCAAAAGCAACAATGGCCAACTGCCTCTCCACCCTCATAGAAACTGAGAAAAGGTCAAAGCACGTGACCCGTGTCAGGGTTGCAATTCCCATCATTCCTTGTCACTAGGGCCTCTCATGATGGAAGCTAGTCAGGGCGTATGAGCACTATTTTACCAAGGCAATCCTGAACAACTGGTCGAGTGAGCCGAAAGTACGCCGTTGGCTACGACGTTTGCAATGGCGTCGGACTTGAGGCAATCATTAGTGCCACGAAGTGTTGAAGTGGAACTAACTGTGTAAACACCTGATGACCTGAATGTGTCAAACCTGTGATGTGACAGCGCGGCACTTTGTTGTATCCAGCGGGCGAGGGCTGTAGCTCTATCAGTAGATAGGCTCAAGGCCTTGATGTACAAAGGCCAAGGTCATGTACAAGGATGGATGTACACTAACACCCTCTCTTGGATTGATTAGGTTCTACAACAAGCAAAAAACAGTTTTGTTCTCATGGGCTGAAGTGATGTAAAAGTTGTTAGCAGCTCTGCTGGCTGTTGCTCTTTGTACATCTATGCTTCTAGTGTGTCGAACATCTATACAAACTGTATTCACGTGGCCTGATGTCCGCAGGATGTAGTTCCCGAAAATCCGGTGTGCCAAGAATTGGCAAGTTTAGACTGGCTGTCTACATGGTTCTCTTGCGCTTCTTGTCTTCCTCGATGTTCTCCGTGGATGTGTCTGCTTTGTGGAGGCCCTTCCTGTACTCATTGATCTTCTCCATGTACTCAACGTAGATCATGATGTTCCTCGATGTGAGGAAAGCCGCATGATCGTTGTGTCCTCGCATTTGTTCCATGGGCTTGACAGCTGTTGCCGCGATCTTGTTATCTGAGCCGCAGGTGCTCATCTTTGTGATCACTGCCGCAGCATGTTGTGAGGACATGTAGCTCAATGCAGAAAGCCCTGTATAATCAAGAGCTTGTGCAAGTCCAGCGTAAATGGTGTCCTGGGTGTCAGCTGTGAGCAAACTGTCAAGGGACAGGATGGCGTTGTAGGAGCGCATGAAGCCTGCCTCCCAAGTGTATTGTAGATGTCAAAGAAACAGGTACCATGTGCCAAACGCCAAGCTGTAAGGCTGTGTCTCTCTTTGTGGAGCTCAACACCCATGTGCTGTTGCTGTAGATCTGCATCTGCTGCAACATGTGTCCCCTGTTGAATGTATTTGCCTTAGACCTCGTGTGAGATCAAGGAGTGCCATGCCAGGATGTAGAGATCCGTGGTGTTAGCTGTAGCCAACTTGCCTGCGCTCATCAGAAACAAAGTTGTCATCACCGCATCGTGCGGGTTGGTTGTAAGGACTGTAAAATCGAATGATGGGTAACGAAGGTTGCCCGGGATGTATTCGATCTTTTCCAACGATCTCCTCGGTGGCGAGGGCGATGTAGAGCGCCTTGCTGTGGTGGGCCAGCGAGAGGTTGTGCCATGCTGTAATTGCATGGTTTGTGCCCTTGATGTTGTCTGCCCTGACAAAGCTGATGTCTGCCACCGATGTGGTCATCCTGTCGTTGTACCTTTCTGGCAAACGGGCATGTGCGATCATGGGCAGAGGTGGAATGGTACACCTCCTGTATTAATAGTCCACTGTATTGTAGCATGTTCTTTTCGCAATTCAGGATCTTGTGACTGTTTCTCGTCCTCAATTGCAGCAGAAACAAAAGGGCTCTTTTTTTACTCTCCTGATCTTTTCTAGGGCTAAGTCTCTGAAAAAAAAGGGCCAAGCAAACTTGGCAAAGAAGTCGAGCAAAACACCCGAGCAAACAAATCCGGGCAACCAGGATCTTTTGAAGTGGTCCCCAAATCATCAAATTTAAGATAACTTCCTTACAAAAAAGTGCCGGGCAAACAGTCACGCAAAGGGGGGTGCCCACGAGGGGCCCTGACCCTCTTTCAATGTGACTGTTTTGGGGTTCTCTTCAGTGTCCAACGCCTTTTTGGGCGGTTCACCTAACCAAGCTCTTCCCAGCTCAAAGGGGAAAGGCCTTGGATCTAGGAAGTTCATTTTGCCAGTGGCCCCCGAACCATCAAATTTAAGATAACTTCTTTACAAAAAAGTACGGGCGCCAAAACCGTGATCCTCTTTAATGCGACTGTTTTGGGGTCCTCTTTAGTGTCTAACCTGTTTGGGGGTTGCTGAGAAAAAATGGTCCTTGGCAATACTAAAGTAAGTGCTAGGAATCTGACCCGCAATGCTAAAGTAGATGGCAATACTAGGGTAAGTACTGGGAAGCTGAGGGTCAGCCTTGGCAATACTCAAGTAGAATTGGCAATACTAAAGTAAGTGCTGGGAAGCTGAGGGCCAGCCTTGGCAATACTAAAGTAGAATTGGCAATGCTAAAGTAAGTGCTGGGAATCTGAGGGTCAGCCTCGGCAATATTAAAGTTGAATTGGCAATACTAAAGTAAGTACTGGGAATCTGAGGGTCAGCTTTGGCAAAACTAAAGTAGAATTGGCAATACTAAAGTAAGTACTGGGAATCTGAGGGTCAGCCTTGGCAATACTAAAGTAGAACTGGCAATACAGTAAGCACTAGGAATCTGAGTGTGACCCTTGGCAAGACTCAAGTTGAATTGGCAATACTACAGTAAGTACTGGGAATCTGAGGGTCAGCCTTGGCAAATATAAAGTAGAACTGGCAATACTAAAGTAAGTACTGTCCCTCCCAGACCCCCCCAAGATCTGATGTAAACAAAATGGCTGCAGAGATGTATCAAAGCATTTTTTGAGACGTGTCAAATGTGCCATGCAAATGTAGTTCCCAGAAGGTGTTGGGGAAAAGCTGTAGTGGTTGTAAAAGCGGGGTCGATCCATGGCCGATGTATCTGCCCCAAAAGATTGTGACTGTAGTAAGACAAAAATGTGTGAACTGTGCACCTGTTGTTTAACAACCTGTGCTGAGTACTGTACTCACTGGTGTGAAACTGTTGTGGTGTGGCCTCACAGGCCAACATTGTACAGGTGTTTGTTGAGTGTGTCGCAGCCAACAAACTTGGTAAGAATGTCGGCTGTGTAGTCTTCTGACTTTACCTTGTGCATTGTAATGATTTTGCTCTTGACAAGTTGTTGTATGAAGAGGTGTCGCGGCTCGATGTGCTTTGCTTTCTTTGATGTACCTTCTCTCATTGCTATTGATTTTGCCGCGCTGCTGTCTGTATGTACCCTGATGTTGGTGCGTACTTCGAATGCTTCCTTGATGAAGTTGCTGATGTAGAGGCTCTCCTGTGCTGCTGTACCAATCGCGTACAGCTCTGATTCTGCTGATGAAAGTGCTATTGTTGCGTACTGCTGCTCCAAAGAAGTACGGTACAACTCCTGTTGTGCTTTTTCTAGTTGTCTCGCATGATGCCCAGTTGGCATCTGTGTATGTGTCAATGTTGAGTGGAATTCGCTTGTCCTGTGTTTGTATCTTTGGTCGCAGGTTGTGTCGCATGTACCTTGTTCCTTTAAGGTGTCTGATCATGTGCTTGAGCTTCTGGTTGTCAAGTTGTGTTGGTGCTTGTAGTGATCTTGCTAGCTCTTTTGCTCCAAAGCTGACGTCTGGTCGCGTGCGTGCCAGCCATTGTATCTTGCCAACAGGCCGCCTGTATCTCTTGTGTTGTTCTTGGTCTAGTGGTGCCTCATCTTCTGCTGTGCGTTTCATGTGTGGTACTCCTGGTGATGGTGCTGGGTTGCATGTGTTCATTCCTGATTCTTCCAGGATGATGTCAACATAATTGTTGTTCAAGCTGATGTCAATGTAGTCGCCTTTGTGTGAGATGTTCCTACCAAGGAAATGTATTGTTGATCCAACTGTTAGGTCGCCTGTGTGTCTCAGCAGGACTTTCTTTTGTATCCTGCTGAAGAGCGTGTTGATGATGCTCTGTACTCCTATGAGGAGGAGATCGTCTACATAGATCATGATGTAGACTTGACAGTCTTTGGATCTGTAGTCATTGCTTTCTGTTGTGCATCTCGCAAGTTCAAGTGTGACTGTGAGAACGTGTGCTATGTGGTCTTGCCATTGTTTTGGTGATGATGGTAGGCCATAAATGGCTTTGTACAGCCGCCGCATTATGTGTCTGTTCTCATCATTGTAGACCTCATGTGGTGGTCGCACTACCAGGTTGTAGGAGATTGCTTCTGCATGTAGAAATGCAACACTGACATCTCCTGTCTTGATTGACCAGTTGTACACCAGTGCCATTGTGAGGAGTATCCTCAGTACGCAAAACAATGGTGTACTTGCAAACAAGAGGTCGTGGTCTGTAACAGGTTCTGTGTAGCCCTTTGCTACTACGCGTGCTCGTACTTCGTTGTGTCTGTTTGAGAACCTATCTTGACTCGATGATGTTTGCTTGTTGTTCTGGTGTCATTGTGTTACCATCAATCTCTGTGAAGACTGATTGATCTTTCAGTAGTTGTACTTCCGTCTTCATTCCTTGTGCCACCTGTTGTGGATCCAAGCCTTTTGTGTCGTGTATGATTGGCTCTAGTAGGATCCTTTCATTGTCGATTTCTTCTGTGTCTTCATTGGATGTTGTTTGCATTTGTTTACCGTCCTTTGTTGTGAACTTGCTGGCACTTTGGGTCGCTCCAGTGCTTGTCTCTCTGCTGTGGTACACTGTTGCTTGCGTTCTGCTATTGTGTCATCTCTTTCTCTTGTGGACGATGTAGGCGGCGGTGCTGGCAGTGCTGGCCGCTTCTGATGTGTTGGAGACATAGCCATTGGTGATGTTGGCTCTGTTGTTCTCTTCTGCTTTGTTGGCTGATCGCCTGCTTCTGTTGCGCTTTGTCTCTTACCTTCTGCTGATGTGCTAGTTGTTGAATTTTTCTGTGACGGTGGTGCCTTGCTTGTAGCTGGCGTTGTCAATGGTGTTGCGAGAGTTGGTGTGTGCAGTGCTGATGCTGGTGTCTTCCATTGACCTGTGTGTACACAGTCCAGTAGTTGCTGGTTGTATTTGTGAGGCATTATCTGCCTTCTGATTGTCCTTGCTCTGACAATCTTGTTGTAGATCCCAAGCAGGGACTCACCTGTGGTTGTTTCCTTGCCAAGCCAGATCCCGTTGTAGAATCTCGGCTCGAGTTTTGGAAATTGTTTCACTGTTGGTAGCATGTGTAGCACTGTCTCACCAAATTCACAAAGTGGTGTATGTTGCTCTCTGTTCCATCTGTTGAAGTAGCTTGTGCGTCCAGGGCTGTGAACTGCCTACCTGTTCATGATGTATGCGCTGTGTCGAACTATCCAAGGCATGAGTGGATGTTTCATTGAAATGTCTCTGTTGTAGTTTTGTCTGATCTGTGCCTTGATTGTTCTGATTTGTGCGAACCATGTTCTGTGTGCTCGTTCTACTCCTCCTTGTGATTGTGAACCGTATGCTCCTGAGTTCCTTGTGGTGATGTTGCCATTCTTGTTGGCCACTGCTGTGGTGAGCGCTGTCAGGAAGTCTTCCCGATCCGATTGTAGTATCGTGTGTGTTGTCCTTCCACATTCAATGAGGAAGTGCCGTAGCTGTGTAATTGCATAGTCGAAGAGCATTCTCTTGTCTGTCAGTTGTAGTGCCATGATCATCCCAGACTGGATGTCAGTTGCTGTGAGAATTGGATGTGCGTTGCTATCATCAAGGCCTTTTGATGTAGCCGAAGTCAAGCTGTATGATTGGAAGCTTGCTGTGTTGCTTTGGATGATTGTTCTGCATGCCTCTTGCTTGTACGCGTATTGGACACCAACTCCTGTAAGGGAGATGTGTCACGTTGTGCTCAAGTATCTCTGTGGTGTTGGTTGATTGGGTGCTTGTGCTGCTTTTGCCTCTGCGCCCTGTTCTTGTTCCTCATGATATGACTCAGGTTGTGTTGGGAACTGCTGATGTTCCTCAAAGTTTGTCCAGCCTGTCCAAGGCTTGTCTGATGTCTTTGCTGGCTGTGTTGTCCATTCATCTTCTAAGAATCTTGTGTGTTGTCTTTCTCCTTCAACTGGTTGTACCTTGGTCTGTCTCCAAGGTATGAGTCGCTTGATGTCTGGCCCGTCGTGTGTCTGCTCTGGTATGTAAAACGCTGTTCTAGGCTCAACAGGTTACGGTTGTAGATCGCCGCTCTGCATTGTTTGGCCATGTGTCCTGGTTGTCCGCATCTGAAGCAAACATTTGTTGCGTGTTTTCCCTTTGCTCCTCTTCCTCCTTGTTAATTTTTTCTATTATCCTTTGCCTTTTCCTTTGCCATATCCTTGTTGTCCTTTAAGTGGATTTCCTTGTCCAACCGGTTGTTGATTGTACTTGCCTTTTCCTCCTTTGTAGTTGTTGTAGCTGCAGTTGCTCCAGTAGTTGCCGTAGCCTTTGCCTTTGTTGTACTTTCCTTTGCCCTTGTGCTTGCCCTTCTTTCCTTTTCCTTTGTTGTACCATGTCGCTCCTATGTCCATCGGTGCCGGTCCTTGGTTGTTGCTGCCTGATGTGATTGCTTGTAGCCTGGTGAATGATGCTGTTGCGATCACCATTGATCTGATTTGTGCACCTGTTGTGATGTTTCCTGCTTGAAGCTGTAGATGTTGCTGAAGTGGCCCTTTTGTCTCGTTGAGCAGTGTTGCAATCTTACTGCGTCTGGTAGTAGTGTGTTGTTGTCCTGTTCATACCTGGAGAGTTGAAACTCCCATGTTGTGAGGCTCTCTTCGAACTTCTGTTCATCAAGTTGTGGTTTTAGCAGTCGTGTAAGATACCCAATGCTCCTTGTACCAAGTTGTATGGAGTACCTTCAGCCGCCATGTTTCAAATCCGTTGCCTTGCATGTTCCGTCTGCAGATTGTAGATGCTGGTCCATCGCATGTGCTCACCAAGAGGTAGTGTAGACTGTTGCTCAGTTGTACCCATTGCTCTGCTACTGCTTGTGAAGGTGCTGCATTCTCAAGTTGGTCGTTTGTAACTTGATGCTGGGTGTTGTAATCCCAAGTATGCTGTCATCTTGTGGTTCCATTCTTCGAAGGTGTTGTATTCTCCTGTGAACCGTGGTGGTGAATTCCTTCCAGCTGCTGCTGTTCCTGTTCCTGTTCCTGTTCCTGTTCCTGTTCCTGTTCCTGTTCCTGTTCCTGTTGCTGTTGCTGTTGCTGTTGCTGTTGCTGTTGTTGTTCTTGTTCTTGTTCTTGTTCTTGTTCTTGTTCTTGTTCTTGTTCTTGTTCTTGTTCTTGTTCTTGTTGTTGTTGTTGTTGTTGTTGTTGTTGTTGTTGTTGTTGTTGTTGTTGTTGTTGTTGTTGTTGTTGTTGTTGTTGTTGTTGTTGTTGTTGTTGTTGTTGTTGTTGTTGTTGTTGTTGTTGTTGCTAACTGTGTAAACACCTGATGACCTGAATGTGTGAAACCTGTGATGTGACAGCGCGGCACTTTGTTGTATCCAGCGGGCGAGGGCTGTAGCTCTATCAGTAGATAGGCCCAAGGCCTTGATGTACAAAGGCCAAGGTCATGTACAAGGATGGATGTACATTAACATGAAGCAACATATGTATATATATATATATATATACACATATTCATGTCTTGAGCTTGTCTCACCCTAAGCTTGTGTTTTAATGTCGACAGCCGCAAGGGGCAGTGGGTGTCACCCGCCGCATCGTTCAGCCTCAGTTGCCGCCTTATGTCCCTTGGCTGCCAGGAGGCCTACTGGCCTTTCCCATGGCCCAGGCGGGTGAGGTTTGTGACGGTTGTGGCAGTTGGCCGTCGGGGGGATTGCGCGAAAAGCAAAGAGGAGTAGCCTCCCACCAAAAAACAGGGTCCCTTTGAAAGGAAAATGGTGATGGACCTCCTGTCAAGTTCCATATCAAGAAGAGATGCACCATGTCTGAAATCCCTAGAACGACGCCAACTGAACATTCTTCAGCAGTGATCCATTCCTTCGGCTGCGTTCCGAGTCACTTGCCAGTTGCATGCTGGTGCGCACTTGCTTGCCCCGAGTGCCTTTTTAGTAGCATAACTGAGCCGCAAACTACAGTATCCACAGACCAGCTACTCAAGGCATAGCCGGAGGTTGCTGACTTGGCTTGGCCTTGGATGCAGAGTTTGTGACTCTTCGGCAAGTGAATCTAAGAATAGGTTGACAAATGCAAGTAGCAAACTCAGCAAAATAGCCTGCCAAGGCACGCTATCAAATCCGCCCTGTGGAACTCGATGCCAGTCTCATGCCAGGAACGACATTGATGGCGGCCGCCAGTCCCCCTTCGAGGTCTCGGCAGTCAGCACAGCCTGTCATGCCACAGATTGAAATTAGATTCACTAGCTGCGAAGAGTGGACCGGCAGGTTCGTGCCAGACTTTGTGATATTGGGACCTTGAACAAAATCGGATGTCTTGACACAAGGGGGATGTTGGGCGTTTTGACTCATGGAAGTCAGAGGAAGCTCAATGCTTCCAGAAAAGCGGTCGATAGATGTCCGCCTGCTCGCCAGTTCTGAGGCTTCCCACACGTTCACTAGAAATCACCTAGGTGTGTGCTCTCCTGCAGTACTCTCCAGCTGTTCTCAAGGCAAATAGGGACCGCCTCTCCAGCGGTTTCCGGTTGGTGTTCTTGCCCATCTTTTTCTGACCTCTTGCAGGACGAGGATGACTATGACTACGACAGCTGCTGTGGGCCCGAAGGCAAAAAACGGGGAAGGATCAGAGGGTATGTAGATGACCTCTGCAGTTTGTGCTTCTCATACTAGAAAGATAGGATAAGGGGTGCACCACAGCTATGCAGGACTTTCCCCATATGCAGAAGTCGTGAGCCCTGGGATCATCTCGTTGAAGCTTCGTGTAAGGTTGTTTGCCACAACATGCTCGAAAGATTTCTTTTCAAGGGATCAGCCAACTTCTTGTCACAGGCTAGCAGCTTTTGAACTAGGGCCGAAGAAGAAAGGGCACACAAGACAGAAGAAACACCCGACTTTCAAGAAGCAGTTTCGCATGAAAGCATCGATGGACACTGGCGGCTTTCTGACATGAAAGGGTTGAGGAAATTGCAAAGCTGCCAGAGCCCTTCTTGCGGAGGCTTGATTTTCCGCTGGGCAATGCCGTTCACTTACTTGCATTCTCCTTTTCTATTTGAGAAGGTGTGAGCTGATTGAACCTTGTCAGAGCCCCGGCAATTTCCACATTCTCATTCTGTGCCGGTTTGGTTTGTCATCTACACCAGGCCGGTCTTGGCCGCACACGGGGCACGAGCACAGGCCATGAGTGGAAGCCGCCGGCCGACTTGCTGCTGCCAGGTGGGCTTTGGAGGGACCCGGCATTGTTGACATGTCAACCTCCCCTCGTATTTTCATTCCGGAAGAAACCGATATTCTCAAGACGCTCTTCTCTTGGATGACTTCTCGGACTGTGGGCAAATGGTGTGGGGCCATGCAGCCCAAAAGGTGCTTTCTTTCTTTCTTACTTTCTTTTTTATTTCTTTATTTCTTTCTTTCTCTTTTGTGGAGGGTGTAGAAGAAGGGGGCAAGCTTTCTTGGCAGGCTTCCTCCATCACACCGTGCGACTCGCAGGGTTCTAATGAGCTTTGTGAAGATTGATTGGACAAGAGAGTGATGTTGTCCGAGGGGGCCACCAATGTCCTTCGCAGATGTAAGAATCCATTTGTATTGTGTGTAGGCGTCCAAAGCCTATTGGGGAAATTGTTGTCTCCCAATTCAGATCAGCTCAACATGCATTGAAGACGGGGATTTTAGCGGAACGTGGTGTTGGGCTTGGTTAGTTCCAAGAGACCTTGACTTAGCTGCCTGCTTCCGGCCGAAGGAAGGCATGAATTGGTCGTGTCCCTTGGACTCATTCTTTGGCCTGTTTCGGCGCTGATGGTCCCTCGACCAGGCTCTGCCGCAAAAGCAGAGACCACTGCGATAGTGGCAAGTTCCATGGTGGATGATCAGGACGCTGTGTGCCTCACGCGGAGTTGAAGTCTGCAGCTGGGAGGCACGTGTAAGCCGTTGGCAGGACATGGGCTCGCACTGCGCCCTAGATTCTTTCATTGCCGGGCCGCCCAGAAGTCCGAACCGTTTCCGATGGGGAAGCGGCAAGTTTGAGGCGACATGTGTGGAAGTTGGGTCGAGAGTCTCACGGTCGAGTTGGCTTTCCAGATTCACAGCGTTCTTGCAGCTCTCTCAGGTGAATGGTGAGGTAATTGGAGAGACCGCGCTGGCCTTCCTGGCGAGTTTCCCGCTGTAGCCAGGAATCCCATGAATCCCGAAGAGCGGTTGGTGGTGCTTCCCAGGACCGTTTTCAATGCATGTGATTTGGACGTGCCTCCTTTGTTTTGATCAACTGCCTGATTTTGACCCTCCGTTCATCCGTTCTTCCGAATTTTCCATTTGCCGGGTACAACCAACTCGAACCGTGCAAACGGTCGGACTGCCAGGGTCTCAGCAATCTCCGTGGCTACAAGCGCAGCAGCCCCAGAGTGCCTGAGCCTCGGGCCACTATGGGCCCAAGCCCAAATTGCAGCTCAGGGGAGATCCCAACCAGAGAAGTCTTGAAGCGGATGTGTTTGTTTCTGAAAAGGTTTGGGCATCAAGTTTGACGCTTCTCCTGGGCTGCGCGAATGGGCAAGAGCCTCTGAGGCCGCAGCGCGCCCTCCTCGCCGGGCCCAGCGAGTCGGAAGCCGCGCACATCGCTGAACATGGCAGTGCCCTTTGTTTTCGGGAGGTGAGGCGTGCTGAGGTCAAACAAGTTGACTGCTTAGTTACAAGGCTTAAGGCTTTCATCCTTTCACTGGGAGACAGCTCGGGGACAGAAAGGGGGAGAGTCTGCGCCTAGACACTTTTCCTGAAAGGCCTCGGCACGCTGAAGAAAAGCGCCCAAAGGGCCAAGTGGCTTGGCATGCGCCAAGCCGTTTTCGCGGCGCTCGTCTGCCCTGAGCTGTGATCACAACCGGCGAATGGAGGCTTCGGCTAATCCTCGATCAGCGTGGGGAAGTTGACAGCTTCAGACACCCTGCTACCTGTCAGCTGTTGGATCAAGGGCCTAAGAGTTGAACAGCAACCTTTGCAGAATCTTTGTTGGAGGATCGGCTCTGGTTGATCACTCTCGCCCTCCAGAGCTAGGGGCCTTTCGGGACCGGGGCTACAGGGCCCATCAGACCAGACGGCGCTTTGCATTTTTCCCGCCACCAGACCTGGGATGAAGGAATCAAATGGGCCTCCTTGTGATTCTACTCTTGCGTTTGTCCGCACCGAAAGAGTGAGTCTTTTGCTTCGGCCCGTTTTCATGATTCCAGGCATCACGGGCTGACTCCCGAGCGTGCCCTGTTTTTCGGTCAGTCAGCTTTGTTTTCCCAGAAGCTTTGGCTTCACCCGCCATGTCAGAGACTCGGAATGACTGGCGTGTATCTTCTGCGGCGCCGACTTGAGTGCATGAGATGTAATTTTTGGTGGACGCTGACATTCGCTGACCCTTTTACTTGTCAGTCAAGTCACCGCCGCGCTTGTAAACGAGCCGCCTCTCAGCGTTAGGGGTCACTGCCATGCGGCGCACAGGGCCATTATTGGAATTTGGATCAAGTTGACTGTTGACCGCATTGTGCTGGAAGTGGCTGTAATACTGTATGCGCTTGTTGCACCGCAAGCTCACTGATTGGTGCATATAATATGCACATTGTCAATGTTGTGCGTTTCCACAGTGTTTTCAATTTCGCACATGGTTCGACCGGGAGAATGTGAGGAAAATATTGCAGAGGGCCATGTGTTGCTGCGCTTCGCTTGGCTTTATCTTGTGGCTGTTTCCTGTTGCAGCTGTTGGCTGTCGGCTTATCACCCCACACCCTAAACCAATCCTCACACCCACCTATACCCAGCCCAAACCAAACTGACATTCACCATAAACACGCCCAAGCCCTAAATCAATGCCAACCCCAAACCCGTCCAAATTTCACCCTGAGTCTAAGCAAGAAGATCTTCAAACCATCCTTGAAAAAAGTGCAACTCACCAAATTCAGGCTGCAATCCACCCCTAAAATCACAAAAAAGAAGACAAGCCTTATACCCAGCCCAAACTCACCCTGGCCCACTTCGAACAAATCAACCCTAAACCCATTCTCAAATCCTACTCTATACCAACCCAACCCTCACCCTGAGCCCTCCGAAAGAAACTTTGAACACATCGAACCACCCCCAAAACCACCCTAAACCCAACCTATCCTAATCGACCCTCAACCCATCCTAAAACCATTCTATTCCCACCCCAAGCATCCTCTACCCATCCTTGCATCCGCCCATCACTCACTCTGTACTCGCCCCCACTCTAAATCCACCCCAAACATGAAACGTTGAACTTTGGACCAATCCTTAATCCACCCAGAGGCCAGCCTGAGAACCCATTCTCCAGGATGCCAAGCCCATCTTTGGCAAGGATCTTCATCCAGCCTGGGACTATTTCGCATGCTTCAGATGGCTAGTTGTTGAGATCGCGTTGCGTTTTGGAGCGTTGATTAGCGGATCTACAGATTCTGTGCCCTTTGTTACAGTGGCAATGACGCAGCAGCCCGGTTCTTTGAAGTCACAAATCTGCCCTATTCTGTGCATGTGAGATGCAAGCGCCACCCGCAGTTTTGCCAGCAAGAAAGGAATGCGTACCAAACCCAAGCTGATAGCAAAACTCCCTTCAAGATTTGGTTTGGACTCCGTGAAGTCAATTTCGCATTAAATCCAAGCACGTGATGCGTGCAATTCGCCTTCGGGAGTTTGTCCTGTTTGATTCTTTTGGACTTTGTCTCAAACCAATGCGACCTGAGAAGATCTGCCAGACTCGAAGTGCGTTTCACGCGCTGAATGCTGACACGCTCAACGCCATGGTTCTGAGGCTTGGTGTTTTCTCTTGGACCGAGAGTAAAAGCAGGCTGGTGCAAGCAAAGGCACATTTGTGAGGTTCAAGTGTTCGAGAGAGAAATGTTGCCGTCGTTGGCGGTGGTGGTGTTGGTGCCGAAGTTGGAGATCCCGTTGCAACCGACCCGCAGGATGTCTGGTTTCTTGCCTTTCCAAGATACTATGATTGTGACAACCAACAGCTCTGGAAAAGACAAACCAGCGAGACGGCCACGTGATCATCTTAACACATTTTCACCCCCCATCACATTGGTTGTCTCCAGAAACTTGAGAGTTTTGACATTTGGTAACTCGCACGCCGGAAGAACACGTTTCAATCGACGTTGCTAAATTGCAAATGCATGGCGCCTTCCAAAATTCGCTGCAAAGCTTGCGACAACTGCAACGGACACGTTGGCAACACCAGCCTGCAAACAAAAGTACGTTCAACACCTTTGATATGAGGAGCCTACCCATTGCACCTGCAATTCCCTTTTGCTCGTGTGCCAACTGGACTTGTTTCCGGCACAGGCGCTTGGCTGCGTGCTGCTGCGGTAGCGAGGAGGCTGGGCTACGTTTCTCTTTGTGGCGTCCATCAACCGGGTTGCGGGTGCTGGCGGTGGTCTTGCCCAGACTTTGCTTGTTGCATTTCGGCCAAGGTATGGGCAAGTTGCAGGGTCAAAGCATGCTGCGCGAAGCGCTTCCTGATTGCCTCAGGAATTTCACGGCTGCTTGTGACATCTTGGATTGGCCTTTTCTCTTGTGTGAGCGATTTTCATCACCCTTGGCTGCAATTCTCCTGCCTGCAGCTACCATTGCTTTCATGAATTCGCAGAGTCACTGAGTCTGTTTCGTGTGCAGGATCCGGACGTGCCGGTGCCCCGCAGAGCCCGGAGCCCTGTCAAGCGAGGGCCGGAGGGCCGCAGGTTCTGCCTGGTGGGCCTATTCAGTTGACAGAATGCAGCTGCTTTTCTCGCAGCGCTTGACTCAGAGAATCTCATTTCCCATGAGGGCTTCCATGTCTGGTCAAAGCTTCTGGCTTACAGACAAGTCGTTTAGCAAGGGCGGGCAAGTTGTGTCAAAGGAAAGGCTGAGCGACCTGAAGTTCCAGTCTTCCGAGTATTGTGATTGTGCACACACGCAGAGCCATTTTGAAAGAGAAGATGGGCATAATGGTGATAGGTATATTCCGGCTTTGTGATATATTTTTTGTTTAACCAACATGGCCTCCTTCGATCTAGTGATGTACTCTGCGAATACAGATCCGGCATATCTCGGCTTCGATGCAGGACGGACTTCCCATCAATCGGCAACATGTTTCATCGTTTGTTAGACTTGGCGCTCTGCAAGCAGCCCAGTAGGAGAAACTTAGTCATGCCAATGACAGGGGCATACACACATAGAAACAGCTGAAAGTTGGTTTTGTTCAGCGAGGTCGTGGCAATGGCTAAGGATGGCTATGGTGGCCAGGCGCAGGTAGATGCGCCCAAGAGGGTAGCGATCTATGGCGGTGCATTTGACCCGCCCACCAACTCGCACTTGACCTGTGCTGCAGAGATCGTGCACAGCGGCTGTGCAGACGAAGTGTGGCTGGTGCCTTGTGGCCCTCGACCTGACAAGCCGAAACTCAAGACACCAGCGATTGACAGGTACTGCATGTGCCAAATTGCTGTAAACACGGTATTCTCTCCAGATTTTCCCGTGAAGGTTTCCGACATCGACACCGGTAGAGAGATGGCCGCCTTCACCTATGACCTGCTGTGCAGCCTCCGGGAGCGCCACCCTGGTGTGCAATTCGCGTTCATCATTGGCTCCGATTGGCTGCAGCCTGGTACCAACATCGCGGAGTGGACATCTTTGAACCACGAGTGGAAGGCGGGGATGCCCGAGGAAAGCAGGTTCATCGTGACGGGTCAGAAACTCCTTGAGGAGTTTGAGTTTTTGGTGGTTCCCCGACCTGGCTACGACGTGGCCCGAACACAAGAAGACCCCAGCGGCCTCAAGGCCTTCGGTCCTCGCCTGTCGTGGATGCAGATGCCGGCGCCAATGCACCTCATAGAGGGCAACTTATCTTCGACAGAGATTCGAAAAAGGACCCACCACTCCTGGCAGGTGCAACAGGCTGTCAAGGGGGGCAAGCTGAGTACCATTGAAGGGCTTGTGCCGCCTGGCATTCTGTCATACATTCGCCGTGGCAGATTTTATGTGGACTAATGGGATCAGAGGACGTTGCCCTGTGAAGTGCCAGCGAACTACTATTCTGATTCACTGATTTTGCGCTTGACATGTTGGACAAAAAAATGCACGTGCAGGCAAGCGCCCACGCACGCACCCACCGCATGCATCCATACATCCATACATCCCTATATCCGTGCACCCCTTCATCCCTACATGCAAACATGCATACATCCATGCATGCATGCCTCCATGTATCTATGCATCCGTACATCAATACATCCATACATCAATACATCAATACATCCATACCTCCAACATCTATACATCCATGCATCCATGCATCCATGCATACATGCATCCATGCATCCATGCATGCAACCTTGCATCCAACATCCAATGCATCCGTACATCCTGCATCCTGCATCCATGCATCCGTACATCATGCATCCATGCATCCATGCATCCAGACATCCATGCATCCATGCATCCAGACATCCATGCATCCAGACATCCATACACTCATACATCCATACATCCATACATCCATACATCCATACACCCATACATCCATACATCCATACATCCATACACCCATACATCCATACATCCATACATCCATACATCCATACATGCATGCATCCATGCATCCATACATCCATGCATCCATACACCCATACATCCATACATGCATGCATCCATGCATCCATACACACATACATTCATACATCCATACATCCATACATCCATACATCCATACACCCATACATCCATACATCCATACATCCATACACCCATACATCCATACATCCATACATCCATACATCCATACATGGATGCATCCATGCATCCATACATCCATGCATCCATACATCCATGCATCCGTACATCCATGCATCCATGCATTCATGCGCACACACGCACACATACATACATGCATACATACATACGAACGTACATAGGTACATGCATGAATTCACGTACATACACACACACACACACACTCGGCTGTCTGACGTCTCGCTTCCCGCGCAGGTCCGGAAGCCCATTCTGCCGTTGGACCGTGTACCTGCTGCACCTGCACCGGGCTCAAGTTGGCGGCTACTGGTGGACTACTCGGCTAGTTAGACCTTGGCCAACAAAGCAGGCTTCTCCTTTTCAGACGACCTTAGTGACGAAGTCACGGAAGCTGGGCACGCTTGGCGTGAAGATCTTCCTCAATCCAACCCAACTTTCCAGAAACAGCTGAGGATTTGATAAAAGCTGTTCTCACAGACAGCAGCATTCGGTAAAAGAGTTGATTTACAATGGTCTCGAAGATGAGAGGCTTTTCTTCGCGACATCTCTACAGCTGGAGAAGATATAAGATACACAGTGATAGGACGCTGACGCCCAAGAGTCGAGAAGGGTAACTTTAGAAACTAGACCACTTCCAAGAAGAGGAAACACACATAGTAACAACACTTCACATGACTTCATGTTTTGCGGTCAATTCTTTTGTTCAATTTCTGAAACACATAGATAAACTAGTGTAATCATATGGTTTAATGGTAGGTGAATCGCAGTCTCACAGCAAATGTTGCATACATGTCTTGCAAATACACGTAAGCTGCATATGTGCTTTCCCAGCAACCCAGAGGAGGTGACATTGTACACTTTTGCATGCCTTGGCCAGTCTCATGGCTTCATTGCTTGGACAGGTCTCCACGAGTCAATGTTGAGCGCTTGTCCCTTTGTCTGGTTGTCAGACCCGACCAGTCCGTGGGTATCATGGCAGCGAGGAGGGCAACCGCCAGTCACATGACCAGATGCCGTAGCTGGAAAGGGTGTATCGTTCTCACATGGCTTCGAAAACATGAGGACCTAGGAATCGGTGGGTCAGACTCAGGCCTTTCTCCCACACGACTTCTGCACCCAAGTTTCAGCACCTTGCAATGCATTTGTTTGTTAACTACGAAACACACGCATGACCTCATTTGTACTCACCAAACTTGTGCCAGTTTCACGCAAGACAAAGAATCCGGCCCAACGACTGCCAAGGCAAAGACCCTGGAGGAGCTCGCGAAACGCTTCGACCTGCAGCTGGCACCGCCAGGCGTCTGGTTCAATGAGATAAGACTTGCGCCATTCCGAGAGTAGGTGTTCCTGTGCGTGTGTGCGCGCGCGTCCTTGCGTGTGCGTGCGTGTGCGTGTGCGTGGTTGTGCCTGTGCGTGTGCGTGCGTGTGCGTGTGCGGGGAGCCTCGTTGCAACGCCCCTGGTGTTGCATTTGGTGGCCAAAGCAAGCGCAGGACTTCGGAGCCAGGAATCCATGGCTAGTAATCGTGACCATATTTCGGGGTTGGAGAATGGCTCAGTGTTCAAGTTTGTAACTTCTTTCGCCGGCCTGATAAATCCTTGGTTCAGGCCCCTCAAGCTTGAAGCTCCGTGTCGCAGACATGTCAGCACCTTCGGCCATGGCACCTTTGGCGACTGAAGTGAAGAATGATGCACCGGATGGGGTACGCGTCCGAGGCGTGTCCATGTGGGGCACCGTGGTGACCATGCTGAATGTCTTTGTGGGGGGTGGATCCGTGGTGTTGCCCTATGCCTTCCGCCTCTCCGGATGGCTCTTTGTGCCTGTCTTGATTGTCGTGGGGCTTTTGATGGGCTTTACTCTTTGGATCATGGGCTTCCTCTTAGAGCTCACAGATCAGAAGGCCAATGAGATGGGGGTGCCGCGCTCTCAGCGCGACTGGGGGCTGATTGGCTACATCGCCTTTGGCACCCCGGGGCGGCTGCTCTTCGCTGGGTGTATGTTCCTTGACCTTGCAGGGGGTGCCTTGGTCTTGATGAGCATTGTCATAGAGCAGCTCCCATTCCTCTTGCCCATCAACCACCGGGTGACGGCCATCCTCTCGTGCATCGCCGCCGTGTTGTTCTGCCTGCTGCCCAAGAAGGCCTTCTCTTGGATGGCGGTGGTTGGTGTATCCTCACAGCTCTTCTTGGTGCTGGGGCTTGTTGTCACCGGAGTGCAGCTGCATTCTGGAGACGGTGTTGCCACTGACCAAACCGCCTTGAACCTTTCTGGCCTGCCGCAAGGTTTCGGCATCGCCTTGCTTTGCTTTCTTGCCCATAGCGAAGCACCGCTGATCTATCAGCTGATGGAAGACAGGCGTCAATGGAATCGAGTGGTTGTCTACAGCATGACTCTCACAGAGGCCTTTCTCTTGGCCTTCGGCATATTGGGCTATGGCTTTTTCGGTGGCAGTGTGGCGCAGTCCATTGCAAACAACATAGGCAGGGACACAGACCTTCAGCTGTTGCCAAACGCATTCAGCGCATTCTTGGCAGCGGCAACAATCCTGGGGCTGTCTTCCAAACAGTTGGTGACCTTGCCACTTCTGCTGGATGCCACCACAGACTTGTTTGGTGACAGCTTGAAGTTCCGTGGTCAGTTTGCGATGAAGGCAGTGATCTTGTTTCTTTCCACTGTCCTTTGCATGGCCTTGAAGAATGCCGTAGCCTTCATGGGCGACCTAGTTGGTATTCTTCCAGCCAACTGCGTTTGCGTGGTGTTTCCTTGCGTGGCATTCCTGAAACTGCACGGCAAGAACATGAGCACCTGGAAGTACCTTGGGGTGCTTTCGATTGCAATCCTATTTGGCTTGTACAGCATTTACGGAACCGTCCATGTCATCCGGCAAGAATTCGCCTCTCAGCCAACTGTGCAAAGCATGGTGGATCAAGGCCTGCAAACCAGGATATTTTCGTCGGCATGGATTCAGGGCTTGTACGTTTGAGTTACCAATTGATGCATTTCTGAGCTGCTTTTGTAAAGCTTGCAGCAATTCGGTCTTTGACCTCTCCGGCTTCCAATGTCTTCATGGCCAGCTTGCGTAGGATGCACATGCCTTGTACGGCTTTATGGCATGGACTGCACGCTGGAGCGCACATCAGCACGTTCGGCTGTAGCGCTCAGTAGTGCTTTCTTCGAACACCTCTGGCTGCATGAAGCAAAATAAACCAGCAAACTTCCCATGCAACAAAGGTCAGGGAGAAGGCAAGCTGGTCTTACTGTTGAGTGACCAGCAAATATATGTGTATTGTCTGATGCCGTTGCATGCTATCTCCACCAGCCTCCAGCCTTTGCGCTAGTTTGCGATTGCATCTTGGCAGCCCGGTGGCCAGGCTCGGAAACTCCAGTGGCCGTTGCCAGCAAAAGCTTTGAGAGGAATTCTTCCAGGCGCGGCGTTTGCGCCTTGTCCTCGGATTCCGCGAAGCCAGAGGGCGCTTGAGCCAGGCTCCTGCTGGTACTCCCAGGGCCAGGCTGGAGTGGCCAGTGCTTGGATCGAAATCCAGGGTGCCACGCAGCGTTTCCAAGCCATGTCCCTTCTTGGAACCTCCAAAAGTGGCACTCGTTTCAATGGAGGCCACCCGCAAATTCATCAACACTTGAGGGTAAATCCAGGGTAGGCCTGTCGAAAGGGGAGATTTCTCGGGGTTCAGTGAAACCAAGAGTTTCTTTTCGCAGCTGCGGGAACTGCGAAGAGGGAAATCCCGCGACCCCTGTGCTGCAACAAAAAAAGCAAGCCCTTTGCGCCATGCAGGCGATGCAGGTGTCTGGGATGCGCACCTGGGCGGCGGCCCTGGCGCAACTGGGATGTGGTTGATCGAAAGGTCCTTTTGCAATGGGAGGGCCATGGAGGAAACCGCCCAAAAAAAACTTTCACCGCGAAATGGAGAGTGTTGCCCATGGTCATTTGGGGGCTAGGAGTATTGATCAACTCAAATCTGTGTGTGTGTTTTGTTATATTATCAGAGGTGTAGTGAATGGAGGGAAAGGTAGACACACATATTGCTCAAGGTGCAAACTTATGCAATGCGAAGTGTTTGCCTGATCGGATTGAATCAGGCAGTTGGCATAACGCTGGTAGATGTCACCATCCCGAACAAGCAAGCCAATTGGCTTTTGGTGGACGCCCTGCGCGCAGTCAGCGGATGGAAAGGTTCTTGGACCTCCCAGTCAATGACAGCAAATCCTCATTGTAGAACAAGCAGGAGCAAAAAAGGACCCAACATCAGACAAGGGGCTTTGCGACCTGAGTGCAAGACCCATGAAAATAATTTTTCGTTGGAAGTCTCTTTGGGGTGGGTGGGTGGATATCACCCAGAGAAGTTTGAGTTAACTCGTCATGCCTTTGCTCTTTATCTCCAAGGCAACCGCCCCAAAACAGCGCCAAGGAGAGCATGGCAGCACTGAGCCGATGCTGATGTGGGCGGAGGCAGTGGCCAAAGCTGGCACGATACCAACAATGGCGCGGTTGAGAGGGAAGCAAATCGGACATGGAGCCAAATCCGACGCAGTCAGATGAAGTGCCAGGCCAACGATTATGCGTGTGCCTACTTCGGTCACGAGGCTCGAGAGATCTCAAGAGGCTGCTTACCTGTCGCCATGCCCTGCTTTGCTCCACCGCAGTGAGCTCAGTTGGCTAGATTTCCGCCCAGAAAAAAACACAGCTCTTGACCTAGCTTTGCGGCGGCACAGCAAGGGCAGTTGCCAAGGGGTGCTGCCGACTGGGGCCCGCCAGGCCTTTTGCACCTCGCCAGTGGAGGCTTGGGATCGGGTGGTGCGGGGCAGCCCCGCTCGGCGCGAAGCCCAGAAGCGCGCTGCAAAAAGCGACGTGTGTGGTGTTGCCGACTGACAAGCAAAACTCGCATGCGCCGGAGCCAACCCTGAATACGCAGGGGCATCCATGTTACTGGAGGGGGGGGGGAAATATTTAGTCCCTTGCATGGCCATCCAAGGACGAAAAGGACGTTCAAACTGGAATGGTGTGACCCTTTGTTCCGGTGGTGTAAATTGGGTGTGGGACAAATGCAACAACCATTGCATTTTCTTTGTGCGTCCTTTTCGATAACATGAAAATTATGGGCTAGTTAGCACCCGGTTTCCAAGCTTTTCAACGGGGTTGGTTCCCTGATGACAGATCATGCTAACCTACTTCAAGATGGGACATCAGCCCAGAGCGTGCGCCATTCAATAAGTTCAGCGAATGCGATCAAGTTCGCTCATCTGGCTATGATTTTGGTTTAAGTCTTCTCGGGGCTTGTTCAACGGGAAAACAAACCAAAAGGACAGCCAACCATTTTGTTGGTCCCCAATGACATGGCAGTACGTATCTCAGCAATGCACAGAATCTGCCCGCCCTGTTGTCTTCAGCCTCGCAAGCAAGCACATGAGATCGGTTTTGCGGCAAAAGCCTGGCAGTCAAAATGTCAGCTGCTACTAAGCAACACACACACACACACACTGACACACACACACACACAAGCAACTCGAACAACCTTGTTCTTGCTATGAATACCATCCTGGGCAATCTTGGTGAAGTGGCTTTTGCGAGCCCAGGTTCGTGACGGTGGTCGTGGGTGCTGGGATGCTGCAATACCTGCAGCAGGCCCTGAAGTGAAGACCTCAGCGATCAGCTCGCACGGGGCATGTTTTCACCTGGCTTGGGCCTGAAAGAGCACTCTTCTTGCTCTCTAGTGCCCTCTTGAAGATGACACAGTGAAGAAGGGGGTAGAAGCTTGAAGAGACCCCCAAAGCCAGCCTGGTTCATGAAGTCATTTTTCTCCAGTCAAAGTACATCTCTCAGGGAGGGCCAACACACGTGCTATCGTGCAAATTCTCACCAGTGGATTCCAGTCAAGAGATCGCAACAGAGTCTGATAACCTAGGCTTTTGATTCGCAAGTTATCGATAGCTGTTCCTACAGTTTTGACCATTTGCTCGCAAGCATATCTACGTGATTTGTAGGTGTTGCGCGTGCACCCTCAAACTGAGGAATGTGCATCCGCTGCTGCAACTCCGGCAGGTTTTGATCCCAGCGGAACCTGCCTGCGGTAATTCGGTCGCCGCCGAATTTTTAACCGCCTCCGGCTCTGACCGCCGACGTTGCAGGCGTGGGGCGCCGTATGGCTCAAGTCCGACGAACTAGGCGGTACAACGACACCAAAGGCTCGCCATTTCGTCGTTCGGCTGTTCATGTCTTGGTTGGGCTCCCAGCTGGTTGTGCGGCGACCCCGGTTCGGGACAGCCTCAATCTTCTCTCCCCTTTTCTGCATGTGTCTTGCAGGTACGGTGCATGCGCACAGCAGAAACCCCGGAAACCCGATTTGGCAAGGGACCTTGCGTTTGACCTCGTTGGCTCATGCCTCTTTGCCGCGAGACAGCAGCAAGAAGTGATGGGTGATTGCGGCGACTTGTTGGCTTACATGCGTTTTGCACTCGAGGCGTGGGTGGCAATAGAGGCCCTGTGTGACGCACTGTGCTCGGTCCTGCTGATACTTCTTCTCTCTTGTCCTCTGTTGCGTGATCTCTTTCCTTCGCAAAGGCCACTGCAGGACTTGAGCAGGGACCCTTGGCGGTTGTTTGAGCCGGGGATGCGGGTGGCTTTTTGTTGGCAACCTCCTTCTTTGGAACAGTCCCTGCAAGTGATGGATGGGGATGCTTCTGGTTTTTCTTTTGATTGCGCCCTTGCCCTTTAAGGCCGTTTGTTCTCCAGTTCTTTCCCGTCAAATACCGAGGGCAAAGGTGAAGGCCGGACTGAGTACAGTAGCTGGCGGAAAGGGAAAGCTTTTGGGCTCAGACAGCCGCACGGGCGCCAGCTGAGCTACGTGCGCGCCAGAACTTGGAAAGGCGCCTCCTGCGCGCATCTGCAAAAACGAGGGTGCGGCGCACGAGTTACAGCAGCGGTTAGCGACAGCGCGCGCCTTGACACATAAGAAAGTTGCATTCATCATCCCCACGCCGAGTGGCGCAGGGAACTTTCCTAGTTCTGCCCTTTGCGCAGAGGGCCATAGATGCAGTGGCTTTCAAAGCGGATGTGCCGCGTATCGGAACGATCGTCCCGAGATGCTGTTGCAGGGAGGCAGAAGCACTGCGTGCAAGTGGAGGCTCGTCTGGGCGACGATGCCTTTTTGCTTTGAAAGGCTGGCCAGGATGCTCTCAGACCCCCACTCTTCTGTGCCTAAGACGGAGGAGGAGGAGGATGGCGCGGGCGTATCTTACGGATGCAAAAACCAAGATTCCTGAATCTTGGACCTTATAGTGCGCCAAAATCACGCACTGACATCACGATGCCTGCGCCCCATTGTGCGGAGCAGGGCTTAAAACCGGAGTCTGAAGTGGTAACGCGCCAGGTGCACCCAAGTCGTCAGAACCCTAGGGAACACGGCTGGAGCCCAGGCGGAATCGAACAACCCAAGGTTCACGCGCGACTGTGTCCCGCATCCCCCAGATTCATCCCCCAGCGGCGAGCAGGCAAAGAGGAAGGCTGCGTTCTTGTGTCCAAGAGCGCCGTTTGTAGTTGGCGGGTTTCGGGCTGTTGGCCCCAAACGCCTTCGAATGAAACCCGTAATGGAGGGTATGCGCAGCTTCGTTTTGGTCGCTTCCAGCAACAACCCGTGGCTTGTGGCTTGATGGGCCAGGTTCTCCCGCTTTCGGACCATTTGCGTGTTTGGCTCGGACACCACGGAGGCACCGGCGGGTTCTGACTAACTGCGCACTTCGGCGTCGTTCAGCAAAGTACGGCAAGAGCGGATGACCCAGAATGTCATAGTGCGGGCAGAGGGGGTTGACTCACATGTGCAGTGGAGGAATCAGACCCAACCAGAGCGCTTGAGGGCAAGGAGGCGCTCTTTGTTGTGATGGTTGCAGTGCACCCCAGGACTTCGATTCCTTGCCTCAGGAGCTGAGGCGTGGGAAGAGAAAGTTGCGGCTGCATCTTCAAATTTTGAATCCGTTAGTTTTGGGCCATTCCGACAATTTGCTCAAGCAAGCATTGTGTTGGAGCGAGAATTCTTGCAACGACAGGGTCCTTTTTTGGATGGTCCTTTTTTGGATGGTCCTCAGGAGAAACTCACATGCTTTCATTGCGATTTGAAGAACTTCGGAGATCAGTCAGTGCGTGGCAAGATTATCAGCAAGCAGGAGCGGCAGACTTCCCTCATCAAACAAACAACACGGCATCATGGGTGTGGATCACGGGAATCTTCGCAATCTATCCTCTGGTCCACTCAAGATGTGACCTAAGAGTACAAGTACTTGGGAGACCATGTTGCAGTTCAAGCAATGCTCCAACGTTGTGGGGCGGGCACACTGTGGGAAAAGAACAAACAAGAGGCACCATGAGGGGTGCAGACTGCGATGGCCAGGAGTCATTTCAAGGCATCGATTGCATCTTGGCCACAACGAGTTTGAGATGAGGAAACAGACGGCTCGACAAGCACACCTCGGTTTGATTCGTGGAGATTGGCTAATGGGAAGCGGGAGAACTCAAGGATGGCTTGCATGTTCCCGTATCTTTGCTTCCGTCAAAACCAACTGGATGGAGCACCAGTGCACCAGGCCATGAGTTTGTCTCAAGATGAGGATGCTCTTTTTTCCTAATCTTGCGGGATGCCAAAGGATGGCCAACCGGTTGGAACACGCCCCACACCTTGGCTCGGCTGTCTGATGGGAGCGGCCTCAGGTCACGGTGCCTTTCACCTGGCAGAAGCTGGAGTTGCAGGCGGACGATCTGAGTCAACTGGAAGTCTGAGTTGGATCCATGCAGGTGGCTTACCAGTTCCTCCACGAGCTTTTCCGAGACAAGGAGGAGCGCTGGGGACCTCTCTCACCGGAGGTTCACTAGAACCAGGGCAGTTGGAGGTGCAGGCTTTCTGATTCGTGAGGCATGGACCACGCTGCAAACCACAGTCGGGTTGTTTTGCACGCTGCCTTTCTGAACTTTTAGACTTTTCCCCTTCCGGCTTCCCAAGAAATAGCCGAAACGACCAGGCTTGGTTGTCGAGCCCCGTCCGATGCTTGAAAAGGACATGTGGCACACCTTGGAGCTCAAGAAGTTTGCGGGCTTCCAGGTGCTTTGGGGGTGAAGCTGGGCCCTTCGAGGTGCTTTAGGGGGCTGTCCCGGCTGAGCTGACACAAGCTTCTTGGTTGGTATTTGTGTCATGTAGTGAGTGAATACACGCACATAACAGGAGACTGAGGCGGTCAAGTCAACCTCTGCGAGGATTCCTTTGCAAGGTGTCATAGTCATGCTCTTGTAGCTTCAACGTGAGACCCAAGGCTTGGCCACCTTTTGACTTCAAATCCAGTATTTGCGGTGGCCAAGCCTGGGGCAAATGTGCCAAGCGTAGCCATTCGGAGGCTCTGAAGGAGAACGACTTGCCGGGCCTTCGGCGCATAGGGGCGCGTGCCTCATTTTTGCTCAAGTCGCGACTGGCAGTTCCCTTTGAGGGGCTGCCAACTTCAAGAACCACCTGCACGGCCGCCCCCAACCCCCCAAACCCCCCCCTCCCAACCCCCCCAAAACAAAAGAAAAGAAAGAAGAAAGGACATTTGTCTCGGCCCTCCGCCTCCAAAGATTCTGCTTCGACATCGCGAGGACCTGGATAGGCTGTGTTGCAAGGGGACTCCGTCCCAATTCGCCTTCTGAGTTGGACGAGCGGGTGAAGCGCCTGGATCGGGACCGCAACAACGATGAGCTGGCGCAGCTGCTGCAAAAGCACGAGGAGGCGCATCGCTTGCTGCTTCCGGCGACCAAGGGGCATGTCACTAGCGGTTGGGCAGAGCTCCCCGGGTTTGTGCTCGCAATCATGGACCTTGACGCTTGCCGCCAGTGGCGCACGGACCAGCCAATCCTGTCTCTTGTGCATTCTGTGCATTCCGTTCCACGCTCAACACACATGGGCAGACATGTTTCAGACCACTTTTAATGAAAGTAACAACACTTGGGTGTGTTGGGCCTCAAGCTCATTTGACCTGCTCGATTCTGGGAAGAACAACTCATATCAGACATGTTTCTTCCACTGCCAGAGGCATCTTCTTGACACAGGACATGAACATGGTGATTTTTGAGAGGAGCATTTGGCATTGAAGGACAAGCTTGTGTCGGCCAAGCGGCTAAATCAACAGCAGCGGGACCGACAACGCACGCCATCGCCTCTTTGGCCAGGCCAGGCGCAAGCCTGAGGCCAAGATCGACAACAGCGATGACGAGCCTGGGGTGGACTGAGCGAAGTATTGTTTGGCAAAGATCCCACCAGGTTCTTTGCTTGATGCATCATGAGGCGTCCAAAGCAAGTCCAATGTTTGGGACCAAGCCGCGGCTGAATGTGGGCTGCCTTGAGTTTTCCTTGGATTCAACTCCATACATTGTGACACCTGCACGAGCAGTCGTGTCACACAATGCGCCGTGCGAAGGGGAGGGCATGTGTATTTGAGCACCCACGGTTTGAACAATCACCTTTGAGCTTCGTTCAGGTTGTCTCTTCAAGGCCAATGTTAAACATATGACCCCTTTTTGAACCCTGCCGATTGTGCCTCTTTTTTAAACGACATTCCAAAAGACCCGCAAGATGCCTGCAATTGGTCGATTATTGTTTTGCTGTTGAATCCCAATTGGTGAGGCATTGCCTTTGTCGCTGCTTGCAGCATCGGTGATGGCCAATTGGGTGACAAATGTTGTCCTTGTGGCCCGCAATCAATTTGCAGAACGAACTGCAGCCCTCAGGTTCTAGAGAAGAATGTCGAGAGATCCGGAGTGTCAGCAAGCTCGCAAACCCGACAGCACAAGAAGCCCAGATCAGCACAGTTAACAACACAACCAGCAGCCCAGCTGGCTGGGGATCCAGAATCTGATGGCCACACCTTCACAATGAGCTTCATGCCGCGCCATGGCATCTCAGCTTTGCTGGCTGCGCTGTCCGGATCCTTGACATCGGCAGGCAGGTAATGTATGGCAAGCACTGCGTGTTGACAGGGTCGGTGTTTTTCAAAGCAGTTTCACAATAGATACAACAATCAAAACAAGCCAGAGAGCAAGTTGCTTGCCCGACACACACTTTGGAGTGTTGAGTTTGATTTGCTGGGTCGTTCGGAAGATGCCGACAGGCTACCCAGAGGCGGATGAGAGCCATGTCCAGAGGCTTTTGGCCAAGATGACCACTGAAGCTGCTTGGCCAGCTCTTGTTTGTCAGAAGTGGAGTCCAGTGGGTATTGATTTGCTTCTCTAAATCTGAAGGCTTGACGCAAGAGTATCAGATTTAGGTTGGGAATGCCTTGTGAATCCTTGTCTTTTCTCCTTTTTGACACTTCTGCCTGGTCCCCGAATTTTGCACATTCCCAATTGACCGTGAATCTGAGGAGAAGCTCCTACAAACCTGCATCGACTCGCAGTGCCCGGAGAGCCGTGCCAGGCGGGGCTGGGGAGAGCCTCTTCGGGGCCCCGACAGCCTTCCGAATAGCAGGAGCGGCCATTCTCAGGGGTGGCCCCTTTGCAATGAGCCCTTTTGGTTCAGGATTTGGCACATGAGGCCGCAAGGAAGGCCTTTGTCAAGCTGGTGCCACAAGGCGAGACGTTCGTGAGGTGGCTGCGTTGCGACCCCGGCGGGGGCGGCGGCGTGGCGGGAGGCGGCGACGCGTGGTTCAACATGGAGGAGGGGCTTTTTGTGTGGATCGGGGGGGGGGGTGGCGGGGTTGATTCGCTTCATCTGGATTCTGATGAGGGAGAAGCCAGTGAAGAGGGCTGTTCAGAGCATCAAACTAGTAAGACCGCCGCGGCCAGTAACCATCCTTTGCAAGAACAAGTGTTTGATCTTCCAGTATCGGTTGGGTGAGATGGTGACAATGTTGACCCCACCGATGGGTGCACGTGCAGGACCTTCCAAGGGTTGGAATCCGCGGCATGCGCATGCGCGATGGGCCGAAAGGCATGACCTGCACCTGGGCTGCTCTTTGGCGTATTCTTGGTTTTGGAACCTCCTTGCAGTCAACATAATATATTGGTGCATACTACAAGTAGACAAACGGATGCATCATGTGCTGCTTGTCCTTCGTGATGCTGTGGGACTTCCATCAGAGGGTTTGCTGCAAACTTTCGTTCTTTCCCCATTGGTTGTGCTTTGTACCGTACGAGTGCCGAACAGTCGACAATCTTCTTTGACCCTGTGCAAGAAACCAGCTGTTGTTCTACAACAAAAGGCCGCTACGTAATTATTCTCCATGTCTCCAAACAGGCGCACCCCCAAAATGGCGCTCGTCTTCACTGTATGCAACCGGAAGCCGACCGTGAGGGGTCTGGTCTTTGACAAATGGCTATGAGTCACAGGGAACTGCCTCCAAAGTGGTTGCGGTGTGTGGACTCCGAGGCCAGGGCGGGTCCGGCGCCTTCAGCGCGCCCTGTCCGGCGGATGGCACCTCCCCGTCCTTCCCGTCCCAAGTGACCCGCGCGGCCAGCTGGAGCACGGAGCTGCTCGGTTGGTTGGCCGCTCGGGGAAGGGAAGATCACTTGCTCCGGAAGAGGCACGGGTATTCGAGAAAGGCATATTTCGTGAAATGCTGGGGGTGCCGCCACCAGGGAAAGTGCTGCAAGTTGCAAGGATGGCGTGGCAACCGCCAGTTGCGGGTGGGTCTGGGCATTGCTTGACTCAGGCTGGAGGAGGAGATCGGACAAGCAATAGGCGCGACGGAAGGGGCGTTGATGCGATCCGGCTCGGTGCCCGTGCAATCGTGGGTGTTTCATTCTGGCCGCCAAACCAGAATTCAGAATTGCAGAACCGGTGGGAAGTTCCCCGAACCGGCTTGGAGGGCAGTGGGGACTTCTCACACTCAGTTCCCCTGAAGATTTTGACCGCCCTCGGGCTAACTCTCAGGGGACATCGCTGCCACGCTGGACATCCATGCGGCTTTGCTGCCAACGATCAACATCCTGCCCTGGCTGAACTGGGGACGTGCGCAGGAGCTCATCGTTTGCCGGTTTAGGAGCAAATGTGTCTAAGCATGAAAGGTGGCGTGCAACACATGAGGAGACAGTGACTGTTGTTGGTCTTTTGTTGTTTTACTTCTTTGTCAGCAGATCCAGATGCCCCCTTTGCAAGGCAACCTTGCGATTTGGCAACACACCTGCTCTTTGGATGTCCATGGCCTGCTTGAATAATCGTGGGGTTGTTTTTGGTGGACATTAAAACTGCATGGGGTTTATGGACGTGAACAATGCCTCCCCAACTGTCTCCCAATCGAGGAGAGCTACGGCGAAGATCCGTTCTTCAGCGGGAAGATGGGGGCCGCCGTTATCCGTGGCGTCCAGCAGCTCGGGCGGACCACAAAATCCATGGGTTGAAAAAACAAACGGAAGAACAGCACCTTCCCAGGAGCAGTTTTGGGAGATTTGCTACGTTTCCGATTGCTGGTGCACCCCTGCTTCCCAGTTTTTCGAAGCCCAGGAAGGACAAGAAGGTCATGGCCACCGCGAAGCATTTCCTGGCCAACAACATCGAGAACACCCGGCCGCTGGCCTTAGACGTCGGAGCCCAGAAGCTTTCTCTCTGCACATGGATGAAGGGCTGTCGTGACAACTCTGTTTGCTGAAGCGATGAACAAGCGACCACATTTCTTGGTTGTGCCCTGTGCAGAACCGGTGAAATATGAGAGGTTTAACGTTTGCAGGTCGTGACAACGAAGTAATTGTAACGTCATCTTGGAAAACCTCGATAGCCAGACGCTCACGCGGATTTCAGCAGTACATCCCTAAGTGTATGCTTACTTGCTTGTCAGGTTTCACGATAAAACGTGTGAATGATGAAACAAACACTCGGTGTTGTTGCTCAAACCAGCATGAACTTGTGAACACCCTGATCGGGGTGTTTCCATTTGCCGATCATGCTGCTATAAGTCATGTTTTGCCCCAACAACTTGGGAACTTGCCAAGGGCCTCCTTTGAATTAGACCTTGGAAGCAACACATTGGAAGGCATGCCGTTTCACCCTTCTTGCTGGGAAGCATGCGCAAGCCTGGCGAGGTGGTGGGTCAGCGCAGAGATGGATGAGAAGACTTTGCACGATGTGTATCTCAGGCAGCTCAGCACTGACTTCCCAATTTATATTGGTTGCACAGTGGAGAGGCCACTCCCATAAGGAACCACCTCCTCCCCACTTAAAGGCCGGTCTATTTTCGCACAGTAGTGGAAGAGCAACTTATCTTGCACAGATTTGACAAATGTCCGAAGGCAGTTGAACGCGTATGGCTGGTTCGCATCGAAACGCTTAGTGCACAGCGCTTCACATCTGAAGAGGTGGGTCTGTCTTTTTTTGAGGGTACCCCTTTTTGGATGGTTTTACAGCGCCAAAAGAAAAACCGCCAATTGTGGGTGTCCAAGAGAAAAAGAGACACCCATGTGTTTCTGCCTGGCTTGTCGAAATGCCCGCCAGGGCTTGGGCCATTGTGGTCTCTGACTCTGCGCCTGAGCTGGTGATGACGTCCTACAACAGGCGGGGTGTTGGATTCAGCCGGCAAAGGTTTGGATCCGGGGCCCTGAAATATGGCTTTAAAGGAAAGCCAAGAGGAAGCTCATCAGGTTGAAGTTGAGGAATGCCTACATTGTGTTCTGGCGAAATGGAGCTGAACAGCTGACCCAGTAGCGAACAGCTGAACATTCCAGCACTAGCAGGCTGAGGATGAACAAGGCCAGTTTGATTGTTTGTCTATGGTGGTGCCTTTCATCGCAGCGATTGATTCCCAGGATTCAGGGGAAGTGGGCATTTACCGACCCGAAGTTCATTGACATCCTGCGGGACCAGTTGGGCTTCGATGGCAGCATCATGACCGAGCCTGGCCTGAGGTAAATTACTTGCACATCTACCATGCTCTCGACACCACCAGTAAATTGCAACGTTTGGAGGGGAAATTCAGGTACAGTACTGCTCTAAACGGAGAACTGGGGTTCGGTGAAACTAAGGGTTGCTCTTGGACAGAGCACTCCAACAGTGATCTCGGCGATTGTGGATACTTCGTATAGCGCCGGTCCCTCCTGAGTCACGGCGAATCGGAACGAATTGGATCGAATTGAGGACTGGTATGCCTCCTGGGAGGCAATCACTGGTGGAATGATTTTGGGAGAAGTAGGGCAGAGCAGCCCCTTCTACGGGGTGAAGGGCTTCATCCCCAGCAACAGCCCCCTGGCCGAATCAGTGGGGCCTTCTTGGTTTCGTTCATTCGTGCAGATGGAAATTTCTGACTGCGTGTTCTTTGAACAACCCAAGGGCGTGAATGCCTTGATCCAAGAACGTTTGGACATGTCAACAGAAGTACACAAACTGGAAGAGGAATCATCGCAGGCTGGGCTTTTCTTCGAAGGGCGGTAAGTTGTACCCCAACTCATCAAAGGGCACCTCCCTCCTTTCAAGGCCTCTGGCGCGAATCTTTTTGGGCAACAAGTCCCCAGCTTCATAACGGAGTGCACCTGCCACATCCCAGGCCTCTACTCTGCTGGCGTGGACATGGAAATGCCCTTCTGCAGCAAAAACCGGGACGCCGTCGCCCAGGCGCCGGGTGGGTTGTGCGAGCGCGGGGCTCGGGTTGGTCCCCGTCACCGGCTTCGGAAGAAGCCATGCTTGCGCCTGGCATTCTGGACTAAGGAAGTTCTAGCACATGACTGCCCCCCAGCATCTGCGGATTTCCTCAGCATTAGTAATCCTTAGTAAGCGAGCACGCTGTTCAAAGAAACCAGCGTCAAGATATTTGGAGACAACAAGCCTTCGACAGAATCTGCCCTCTCAAAATAAGAGTTTCTGGTCCTTCCGGGCGAATGAACTGTTTGCCTTTCTCCTCGCACCAAGGCCGCCGTTTTTGCAGATGGTCGGTCAACCCACTCGAGGCACAGGCTTGCGGGGACGCGCGGGAGGACTGCACCACTCTGCAGCACCTGGACCGCGCGACAGGGCGGATCCTGCGGTCCAAGCTGAGGCCGGAATTCGGTTTGGCTGGTTTGAGGGCTAAGTGGGATTGTTTGGCCTTGTGCGGCCGCTTGCCTGCATGCTTGGTTGGTTGGTTGGTTGGTTGATTGGTTGCTTGCCCGCCCGCCCGCTCGCCCGCCTGCCCGCCCGCCCGCTTGCTCGCTTGGTTGGTTAGTTGGTTGGTTGGTTGGTTGGTTGGTTGGTTGGTTGGTTGGTTGGTTGGTTGGTGGTTTGGTGGTTGGGTGGTTGGGTGGTTGGTTGGTTGGTTGGTTGGTTGGTTGGCTGGCTGGCTGGCTGGTTGGTTGTTTGAGAGGGAAGTTGATGTTACAATGCGGGCGGTGGGGGGCGTCTCAGCCCTGGCAGGTATGGTTTGCTCGGCGAGAGCAAGAACCACACTCGGCTCCCTGCATGGGATGAGAAGTTCGACAGGCCGCCTCTCATGTGTCAGGCTTTTAATCCAGTCTTGAGCATTGAGCAGCCAATGTCTGACTTCAAGGGTTTTCCTTGGCTGCATTCGAGCAAGTTGCAGCTCTCCTGTTGCCGTTGAAGTATCCCTTCTTTGCCTATTGTCGCATCATTGTACTTGGCCCAAATATCTTCCTTCACCCATGAACAACCATGTTCTCCAAGCATATGCTGCCCCCTGCCCTTCAGGTTTTGCATAGTTTTCATGCCGCGCGGCCGCGCTGCCATGGTTTCTTGCCAGGCTGATCCTCCGTGCGGCGCATGAGGGCTTAGTGCTGCTGAAGAATGAGGGCTTACTCCCCAAGGCCCGGACTTCCAGCTGCGCGAAATGGGAGGTGGCTTTGATCTTTGAAAAGGCCCAAAGGTCATCGCAGAAGGTATTGGAGTATTTGAGTATCGCCTCGCCTTTTCTTGGAATGAGGGAAGGCCCCCCCTCCCCCCCCAAAATGCCCCCAAACCCTCCCACCTCCCCCCTCCCCCCCACAAATACCCCCCCTCCCCCCGCCCCCATTTCCATGATTTCCTTCAAGGTCCCGCACCTCGCGCGAGGCCGGGAGAGCCGTGGAGCGCCTGGCGGTGCTGGGCAGCGCGGAGCAGCTGGAGCTGGGGGACCACGGCTCCAGCGCTGTGAAGCCCGCCGGCAGGCGGGGAGCCCAGGGAGGCCGGAGGTTTCCCCGCCCCCCCTCAAAACAAAACTTGGAGCATCCCAATCGGGGACTGAGAATTTGGGACTGGTTTTCATGCTCGTTCACTAAAGCTCCAAGTTTCTGGCGAGTCCGGACTTGGAACTCATGGGCAGGGCAGACCTCGAATCGCGCCTGATGCCAAGCTTCATGAACAGAGAATTATGTGTCCGAACCAGCTTTCAAAACAATGAAGACGACACAGCAAGAGCAAAACACACCAACATAAACCGAGCAACTGACCAGAGTTAAGCATTGCGAAAAGCAAACATGTGGACAAAGGACGAAGCAACACACACACACAAAACAAGTCAACCTAAAATGACAGCCACAACAGACAACCGCCGGAACCCAGTACAAAACCACAAAACCACATATGCAACAGGAAGCAAACGTCGCAACCGAAAGTAAGGAGCTCAACAGCAACCCCATGCAACCCCATGCAACGCCATGCAACGCCATGCAACGCCATGCACCTCACCCACTTTTCCTAACACACGAAACCAAACTCACCTGGGTGGTGATTGGGCTTGTGCTTTTGCTGAGTTGGTGGCGACAGTGGCAGCAGCTTCGTTCCCTGTCACAGGGCTGATAGGAGTAGAGATCCGGGACGAGCTGATGTGCGGAGGTGTATGTGGGCGTGTCGGGGTTCGCTTACATTTGTTTGACTGTTGAGAGTTGAGAGGCTGGTCACCGTGCTGGACGGGCTCAAGGAGAAGTGCCATGGCTGCACAGCTTTGTCATGGCTTTGAGTGTTCGTCCCTCCCGCCTCCAGCAACTGCGTAATCATCATCGTTTGTCATTTGCTACAGTACAGGGGATGACATGGGGCGCACTAACCCTGGTACCATTACGAAATGGGGGTTGCTCACCAAATCCAACGTCAATTAGGAACATTGACCACAGCCCGCCCTTGCAGAAGTGATGAGACAATGTGAGAGAGACGGCTGAAGACTTGACACAGACAAGGCTGCTTTGAAGGATTCACATGCAAGTTCCAGTTGCTTCCGTGAATCGTTTGGACATTTGATTGCAAAGAGCACGGCCATTGTAGGAGCTGTAGTAGGCAGTGAAATCTTCAAACTATGGATGGCACTGCTGGCGCTGCCCCGTTGCAAGGTACCACGGTGCGGACGTCAGACTCATTCAGCAAAACACCACGGAAGATGTGGCTGCTTGGACTGAATGTTGCACTGTTCCTTTTGGCGATAACCTGGCACTCTTCCACGCAAGTCAAGACCTTCACGTCGGCTTCCCCTACAGCAAGTCTTTTAGCGCTTTGGATTCCGCGCTCCCCACAGTGCCGGGGGTCTCCGTCTTCTCTTGTGCTGCGCGCGGCTGGAGAGGCCTTCGTGAGATCCGCCGATTTGGTGGTCATCGACGTGGGCTTCGACTTCACCTTTGAGGGAGAGCCGCGGGCTCAGGGGTGCCTCGAGTGCCTTGAGCCGAGGTGCCATGGATAGGGTTCACCATGCCCATGCTTGCACGGCGAGTTGGCCACATCGTTGGTTTGCAGCAGAACTCCAGCGGGTGTTCGTTAGCAACCGTTGAACCATGAGCGTGCACCTTTGATCATGCCCAGAGTCAACAAGGTACAAGTGTCGCTTGTTTCAGCTTCTTCAAGCTGGTCGGCCCGTACTTCAATTTGCGGTGCTCAGGTTCCTCCCTCCGGCAACTGGCGGTGACAGGAAGTACTTGACTCTGCCACGCGCATGCACAGGTGGCTGGTGAGGCAAGGTCAAATTCGGGTGACGTATGAATTTTCCCAACAAACACGGGCTCACCATGCTTGTCCCAACATGGTCATCATGACACAGCTGAAAAGCTGTGCTATGCGCCTATCCCCCAGATCAAACAGCGACTAATCAAGCTACTCCTTGTAGATTCTTCCGTTCATGTTCGTTCGGGCATTGAGGTAAACCGGTGCCATGGCAATTGAAGGAAAACAGAGACGTTGCCACTTTTGTACTGTTTTCTCATGTTGCGCCCGGGTATCCTCTCTCAGTTCTTTGTATTCGGGGTGAGCGGTGCTTAGGCATCCTTTGCATGTGCATCTCATCCAGCAGGCAGGGCTCTTCGACCGGTGTTGCGTGCTTTGGGTAACTATGAGCCCATTTCCTTGAGGATCCTGGAATGGTAGCGACGTGCACAACGCATGCTTCCAGTAATCGTCACTGTCTGCAGGCTTTGACGCTTCAAGCAGAGGGAGTCAGTGACATTGAGGTAGCCCTGGGCGTGGCAGGTTTGCGGGATAATCTAGCGGTGCGTTGATGACAGAACTGCAGCGCAGACTCACTCACTGCCCTAAATCAGCCAGCAAGCAGGCACCAGACTTCCGCCTGATGTCGTTTGGAAGCATCAGAAATCGCTTGCGTCAGGTCGCATCTGTCAACCATAACGTGGTCGTGGTGATCACTTCAGGCCAGCTAGATCCTCCAATCATATCGCAACGGATTGGTTTGCCGGCACGTTTGGCTCCGTTGTTTCTCTGCCAGCGACATAGCGGGAGTTTTCTCTTTTGTCCTGTCTTGTGCTGCCTTTGCACTTTTTAAGAGACGACGCCCTTCCTTTGCCATCTATCTATCTAATCTTTCTTCCTCACTGCTACTGCTACTGCTACTGCTACTGCTACTGCTACTGCTACTGCTACTACTACTACTACTACTACTACTACTACTACGACTACTACGACTACTACGACTACGACTAGGACTACGACTACGACCACCAGCACCACCACCACCTCCTCCACCATCTCCACCTCCACCTCCGCTTCTTTGGGCCTTTTATTTTCATGTTTGAATGTTGTTCCCTCAAGTTGTTTTGTCACCTTCCCAGAGTTGCCCAGCTTTGAAAATTTGACTGCCCATGTTGCCCCCCAGCTTTGGCCTTGAGGCCCAGCAATGGGCTGAGCCCATCCCACAGTCTGCGGGTCCGATCATGGCCACAAACCTGGGAACCAAGCCGAGAGTGCCAGGGTTTTCGACGCCGCAGGCGCATCGGTGATTGTGGAGGACTTCGTTGATCAGGCCAGGTGGCGCGTTTTGCGCGATTTGTTTGAATCCCAGAGGGATGGATATTTGAGAATGGCAGGCTTGACTGTAACATGTGAATACCTGAATGCCTGGCAATGTTAATGGTTAAGGGTCTTTTGTCATGGGAATGGCCCCTTAGGATCCAGTTGAATTTTCAAGTTTGCCAACATGGTGAAACCGAGGGCCTTCCCAGCTGACTTGAGGGCTAGTCACAACTCAACCGTCCACCAGTCAATGCAATACACACCCACACACATTCTGGATGGAGACCGTTGTGTAACTTTGCAGGGATCAGCACGCCTCGCGATGTTACTGTTATTGGTTGCCCGGAAACACAATCCCTGCTGAATTGTTGCCCTTAGGAGGGAGAGGCACTGCCACAACATCCATGAATTCCCCTTCCAGGGGTCAATGCTTTGCCCGCCTCAACGCGCGCATCGCAGCGAGGTCCAGGCGATCATTTGGATGGGCTACCCTGGGCCGCACGCGCCTCGGAGCCTTTGGGCAGCAGTGAGGGTTGAGACCTGCAAGTTTTCGGGGAATGTGCCAGATGCAAAAATGACACGCTTCCAACTGGTTGGCAGTTCGCATCCTTTGACAACCATCCAATGTACAAGGTGGGGGCTGACTCTCTAGTCCTTGGCCCATTCGAGGCTTGGCGGGCAAGCTCTGGCCGACGTGCTGGCGGGTGACGTGCTCCTGGCCTGACTTTCGGGGTGCTGTCCTTGTCTTGGGAGCCCTTTGTTTGGCTGGATTCATAAGAACACAACAAGCATTCAGAATAACCGGGTGGTGTGCTGGGTGCCTGAATTGCTTGATCTGAGGAGTGCACAGTCATGTCATTTGCTGTTTCTAGTTGCCAAGTTGCGCGCTGTTCTGTTGTGATCCAGCGCATCGTCGCAAGTAAGGCTGGAGCCGCTTTTATTTGTGACCCGGTCGATTCCCCAAATATATATTGCAAGGCAACCAACCTGATCCAACCAACACCGGCTGTATATTGCGGTCCACTACATGGTGAAGGCTTCTCATCCAACGCGGGACTTGGTATCTTCTTCATCCCTGGATGACCCCATTGGCATGTCCTGCTCGCTCCTTGAGTGGCGCTTGCAACAAAGTGCGGTTCAATATGATGGATCATCATTGCTTTCAAGTGCGACATTGAGGGCATCAATTCATCTTGCACACTTTTGTTCGTAGATGTCCGGTTTCCCCCTTGGCATGTCCGGGGGTGGGTTTGTTGGGGGCTCAGGACCTAAAAGGGGAGTGATCATTCTGATGCGAGGTGAACCCCAGCGGCAAGATGCCCGCGGTCACGCCCAAGCGGCCGCAGGAGAAGCTGACGGCGAATTCAGATCCATGGGCGAAAGGATGGATCGATTGCATGAACTTCCGGGGCATGAATCAGCTCGCAAAAAGGGGGGTATGACAAGGTCGGTTTGCTTCAGATGTGAGATCGTTGGGCTCACCCAGTTCCAGTTTTGAACGAAGGCGCATGAGTTTGCCAGCTCGCAAACGAGTCATGAGTACCTCGGCAGCCCTGTATCACTGTTCACACGATGTGATATTGCATCACTGCTTTTGTCTAAGGTAGCAGATTCGGCTTGCGCTTGGAATGCCCGCAGTATGCATTCTCCATTTTTTCTGATTGCTGGAGTGGTTGGGATGTTGCTCAGGTGCAGGAATTGTTCCCCGTTCAATTTGGGTGACCGGGGAGGGCCATTCTAAATCCCATATGCTTGCCGGAGACGTACTGCGTTGCTCCTGAGCATTGACACATTGCACGCTCCGAAAGTGTATCATGAATGTGAGACTAGCACCTGCCCAGGACTATTTGCCTAGTGGCACGCCTCTGGAGTCGGCATCCCCAGCTCAGGACCCGATCTGGCACATTTGTCGTGCTGATGCCTATTGGGTTTGATTTGTTTGTCAATTTCCGAGGCCGTGGGCGCTAGACAAGATCGACGTGGCCCCGGCCTATCCATACAGCCACGGGCGTGGGTCACAGCAATGTGGGTTAGAGAGCGAGCCTGTCGTATGCAGCATGAGCAAAGCCTCGGCAGTTCCTTGCAGCATCAACTGACAAAAGTCAAGATGTCAGGTTTAAGCACATGTGGCAGAGCGGAGTAGCACCACGATACCCCTTTGGCGGGAGCCTGAGCTGCAGGAGCAAGAGCGAAAGCATGTCTTCCACCACATCTCCTTCTAGAATCGCATTCATGCACAGAAGCCATGGCATTCATCGCATGAAGGTGTTCACCGACCACTCGGTCATGACAGCATTCATGTCACGCAAGGCATTCATGACAGGCAAGGCCCTCATGGCATGCAAGGCATGCAAGGCACTCATGGCATGCAAGGCATGCAAGGCACTCATGGCATGGAAGGCATGCACGGCACTCATGGCACTCATGGCATGCAAGGCATGCACGGCACTCATGGCATGCAAGGCATGCACGTCACTCATGGCATGTATGCAAATCACGGCATTCATGAAATGCAAGGCATGGCACGCAAGGCACTCATGGCATGCACGGCATGCACGGCACTCATGGCATGCAAGGCATGCAAGGCATGCACGGCACTCATGGCATGCAAGGCATGCACGGCACTCATGCAATGCATGCAAATCTCGACATTCATGAAGTGCAAGGCACTCATGGCATGCAAGGCATGCACGGCACTCATGGCACTCATGGCACTCATGGCATGCAAGGCATGCACGGCATGCACGGCACTCATGGCATGCAAGGCATGCACGTCACTCATGGCACGTATGAAATGCAAGGCAGTCATGGCACGCAAGGCACTCATGGCATGCACGGCATGCACGGCACTCATGGCATGCAAGGCAAGCACGGCACTTGTGGCATGCAGGCATGCGCGGCACTCATGGCATGCAAGGCATGCACGGCACTCATGGCATGCAAGGCATGCACGTCACTCATGGCATGTATGCAAATCACGGCATTCATGAAATGCAAGGCAGTCATGGCACGCAAGGCACTCAGGGCATGCACGGCGTGCAAGGCACTCATGGCATGCAAGGCATACAAGGCATTCATGGCATGCATGCAAATCACGGCATTCATGAAACGCGAGGCACTCATGACATGCAAGGCATGCACGGCACTCATTGCATGCAAAGCACTCATGGCATGCAAGGCAAGCACGGCACTTATGGCATGCAGGCATGCACGGCACTCATGGCATGCATGCAAACCCCGGCATTCACGAAATGCAAGGCATGCACGGCACTCATGGCATGCAAGGCATGAACGGCACTCATGGCATGCAAGGCATGCACGCCACTCATGGCATTCATGGAATGCAAGGCACTCATGGCATGCAAGGTGCGCACGGCACTCATGGCATGCATGCAAATCACGGCATTCATGAAATGTGATGGCGTGCAAGGCATGCACGGCACTCATGGCACGCATGCAAATCACAGCATTCATGAAAATGCAAGGCATTCATGGCGTGCAAGAAATGCGCGGCACTCATAGCATGCACGACGCTCATGGAATGCATGCAAATCACGCATACGGCACTCATGGCATGCAAGGCATGCAAGGCATGCAAGGCACTCATGGCATGCCTGCAAAACACGGCATTCATGGCACTCATGCCTTGCAAGGCACTCATGCCATGCAAGGCATGCGTCGCACTCATGGCATGCATGCAAATCACGGCATTCATGAAATGCAAGGCACTCATGGCACTCGAGGCATGCAAGGCATGCACGGCACTCATGGCATGCAAGGCATGCACGCCACAAATGGCATGAAAGGCATGCGCGGCATTCATGGCATGCACGGCACTCATGGCATGCATGCAAATCACGGCATTCATGAAATGCAAGGCACTCATGGCATGCAATGCAAGGCATGCACGGCACTCATGGCGTGCGAGGCATGCGCGGCACTCATGGCATGCATGCAAATCACGGCATTCATGAAAGGCAAGGCATTCATGGCATGCTCATGGCACGCAAGGCATGCAACTCACGGCATTCATGAAACGCAAGGCGGTGTGCGCGGCACTCATGGCATGCATGCAAATCACAGCACTCATGACATGCAAGGCACTCATGGCATGCAAGGTCATGGCATGCGCGGTACTCATTGCATTCACGGCACACATGGCATAGATGCAAATCCCGGCATTCATGAAATGTAAGGCACTCATGGCATGCACGGCACGCACGGCACTGATGGCATGCAAGGCGTGCGAGGCACTCATGGCATGCGTGCAAAACACGGCACTCGTGAAAAGCAAGGCACTCATGGCATGCAAGGCACGCACGGCACTCATGGGCATTCACGGCACTCATAGCATAGATGCAAATCCCGGCATTCATGAAATGTCAGGCAGTCATGGCATGCAAGGCAGGCACGTCACTCATGGCACGCAGGGCATGCACGGCACTCATGGCAACGGCATTCATGAAATGCAAGGCACTCGTGCCTTGCAAGGCATGCGCGGCACTCATGGCATGCAAGGCATGCGTGGCACTCATGGCATGCGTGCAAATCACGGCATTCATCAAATGCAAGGCTCTCATGGCATGCAAGGCGTGCAAGGCACTCATGGCATGCAAGGCGTGCGGCGCACTCATGGCATGAAAGGCATGCACGGCACTCATGGCATGCACGGCGCTCATCATGCATGCAAATCATGCAAGGCATGCACGGCACTCATGGCATGCATGCATGCATGCAAATCACGGCATTCATGAAATGCAAGGAACTCATGGCATGCATTGCAAGGCATGCACGGCACTCATGGCATGCATGCAAATCACGGCATTCATGAAATGCAAGGCACTCATGGCATGCAAGGCATGCACGGCACTCATGGCACGCATGCAAAACACGACATTCATGAAATGCAAGGCATTCATGGCGTGCAAGGCATGCGTGGCACTCATGGCATGCAAGACACTCATGGCACGCAAGGCGCTCGTGGCATGCAAGGCACGCAAGGCATTCATGGCGCACGTGCAATTCACGGCATCCCTGAAAGGCAAGACCTCCGAGGCACGCATGGCGTGCAAGTCATGACAGGCACCCATTCAGGGCATGCATGCAACTATGCCACGTACGGCATGCAAGGCGCTCAAGGCACGGGCGTTCATGGCATGCATGGACATCTTAAGGAAGTTTGGAAGGATCTCTGGGCATTTCGCGGCATTCACTGCATGGAGGGCACTTATGGCACGCGTCCCCGGACATTCGTGGCATTGAAGGCGCTCGTGGCATGAAGCGCAGGAACTTCAGCGCACTCATGGCATATGGCATGACATAGCAACCGTTGGCAAAGGTTGGGGACTGAGCTATACGCGCTACACCTACTCACAGCTGGATGTGTTTAGGGATCCTGGTGGCGATCGACTCCTGGTTCTTGTGCAGGCAGGGCACGTTTGCGCCAGACAGTGCGACCGCTGGGCAGGATTAAGCGGCCAACTGGGAAGGCGCTAGATGCATGGCCGCTTTGGGGGATTGCGCAAGTCCCTCATGTAATTGAAGAGGACCCACGTCCCATGTGACTTGCCGAGTTTCCGCTGTCCGCCTCGGATTCCAGCGGGCCAGGTGACCAATTCTGGTGGACAAGCCTGTGCCCGAGTTGTTTTTTCCGCTCGTGTTGTTTGCGCGCCAACTTCGAGTCTAGAGGGGCTGTGCGTGGCAAATGCATTTGAGAGGAAGTCTCATTGAAACAGAATGCCTCGCACCCTATTACACATCTGTGGACACCGTATCTTGTCAGAGCAGGTGTGATGAAGGTTGTCATTGTAGTTGTGTTGGACTCACTAGACACTCCCCCCCTCAAACGAATTGGGGGGGTCAATAGCGACAACCCAAAAAACAAAATGGGGGTCAGACTGGGACCTGCCTGAGTAGTTTTCCAGTAAGTATTGTTTAGAATTGGTTTAGTATTGGTCTAGTATTCCTTTGAGCTGGCTCACTACGGTTTAGAATTGGTTTAGTACTGGTTTAGTATTCCTTTGAGCTGGCTCACTACGGTTTAGATTTGGTTTAGTTTTAGCTCAGTCTTCTTTTCAATTGACTCCCTACAGTTTAGATTTGGTTTAGTATTGGTTCTTCTTCTTGGCAGGCTGCCCTGGCCATTTTTTTCACAATTCCCTACCCTTGAACAAACTGCATTATTGCCTTCCTGGGGGTTCCGTGTGCCACCCCCTTGAAAACTTGTCAGGGTGCATCTTCTAGTAAAGGGATTGATAAGGAATTTGGTGGTTTGGGACAGGAAGCAATCCAGAGATTCTGGACATTTCTGGCTGGGCTCAAACGTTTCAACCCTCAAGAATAGTGCATTCTTGGAAGGGAACATATTTTCCTGATTTCGGGCAGATGTTTTTCTGTATTACCCACCCTTTTTGCTTTTCAGGAGAGTGAATAATTTTGAGTTTTTTTCCTGTATTCACTCCCCTTTTATTAACCGCTATCTAACTTTAGAGCCTCCGGCTCAGTCCGCCGACA